AAGCAGAATCCCATGGCTCAACAGGGTAGTTTGTTGACCATTATGGCATCGCTTTTTGCCCCGACTGGTTGGTTTGGGTGTGGTGGGCAGCAGAAGGCTCAGGTAATACCATAGGGTTCATCAGGGGCTTAACCATCGCTACAGGGTGTAGACCAGTCCACTTCCAACCACTTCTGATGTTCGAGACTGATAGACCAGCAAGTCGAGCCTTCTGGTAACAGTCCAGGAAGTTCCTTTTACCTATAATGGTAGAGTCGTTCCATTGAGACAAGTAACCGAGCTCCTTCCGATAGGCTGACTTAACAGGGCTGAAGACAGACTGGTCAAGTGGCTGGAGGACATGAGAGGAGTGTGGTGGTAAGAACAGTAAATGGATATTGTTAATATAGCAATTCCACATGAAGTCTGTCGTCGTATGACTCCCATGCCCATCCACAATCAACAGTCGAGCCTCGCCCTCAGCCTCGGGCATAGTCTGTGGGATAAACACCTTCTCTAACAATGGCAGTTAAGTCTGTAGTCCAGCCATTATCTGTTGCTGTAAACTCCACCCATCGTATGGAACCAGATGTAATGGAAACCACTGTTGTTGGACCGTCTTCCCTTGAAAATGATAAGAGGACGAAGTGCCCTACCCAAGGCTGAGATACACTCAATGATAGAGACCCATGCCCTCGACCCAGGTTGTTTCTTGCGAACAGACGTCGTCTCAGCCATGCCCAGCACTAACCCATTAGCTCCCTGACCCTCGAGGATGCCAGTCTCATCCATATTATATCTGTTGGCTGGTTTGATGTCCTTGATCTCAGGGATAGCAAGGAACTTAAACCAGTTCCTAATGACCTCAGTAGATGCCCCATTAACGCGTCTAGAATCGATGGAACGACTTCTCTGAACCTTAATGATAGGGTTCCTTCTCACGAAGGCATAGATCCAGCCTTTTCCTAATGGTTTGGTATCCCCAGCAGCAGCCAGAACTCGCTCTGCGAATTCCTTCACCTGTTGGTGCGTTGGTGCGAGGCCCAGCGAAGCCTGAATGCGAACCCATTGTGCCAGCTTACTCTCCTGGTCAGGAGACAGCCTCTGCCAGTCAGCAAAAGCCACTTTCCTAGTCTGACCACCTTGGACGTAGTTGGAGGGTTGATCGTGGTATCCCATACTCAATGAGGCTCTCTTTTGACTCTTGCCGTTTGAGATGTCCTCGAGAGCCTGACGAAGCTGATCTCGGTATATTGAGGCATTAGATATAGAAGAAGGTATGTGCAAAAAATGAGCCCATTTGGACTCGAATTGAAAATGTTGTGATAAAAGGAGGTTGGGGGTGGGCATTGCGTTGTGGTGGATTTTCGCGTTTTTGTGGGTGCCAGAAACAGGGGGGTGCCGGGAAGTGGGGGGTTTGACTTACCAAGGATATGTTTTTTTCACAATGAAATCTCGCCGATAAGCGGGTGCACACTGTCAATTAGCCTGGAATTTGAGAGAAGATGCCACTCTGAGTCTCAATATAGATGACTCTGTTTTCAACGCGAGGTTGACCTTCAAAACGTATCCGAAAAATTGACAGCCAATGCGATATGGTTTTCAACTTCTGGCTAGGCTTCGAAAGCGAGCAATTTCTATCGCAATGGTGAAATATTTCTCACAAGGTCTTTGAAAAAGCGCAACGCGTGGTGGAAGGTCTGGTCGTGTTAGAAAAGACCATTATGAAGGAAGATACGCTGCTCAAAAAGTGGGAAAGCAGGGGGTTTAGCAAATTGAGAAATATACGTGATTCCTCGAAGGTGAAAGTCGAATCCGCCTAGGGAGCTCCTGCATCCACAAAACTCAAGAAGGCAGTTTAAACCGCCTCACAAGACTTTACGCAAGATAAGCTGGTGTTTCTACCTGGATTAAGTGCATGACGGATTTACATTATAATTTCTGGGTTACTGCTATGGACAGGCAGAAGAGAGTAATTCACGGGGTTCGAAGACCACAGGGTTGCCCAAACACCTTTTAAGGGCAGGGCCCTACTTACTTTTGTGACGTACTTATATATATATAGCGCGACTCTATGTAATTAGTTAATCTTAGTTTTGCTATAGCGACGTAGAATCTATCAAGAAGCTCTAGTACTGTTATTTAGGAAAGACACTGTGTGGCAAAAAGTCTAACTTTTGTGAATCACTTCAGATTGATTGAGTATATGTTCCACAGGATACTAGACAATTGACCCCATTGTGGTGATCACTGATCGCCTAGGACTTGAAGCCATCATTAAAGTATAGGCGAGATCAATTGAGTGACTGCTGACACTAAACCTTCATCTTCTGGATGCTGGACTTGCCTGGCGCCGGCGACTCCTGACCCATCTAATGCCTCTGACCTTTACAGCTAACTACCCCGCTAACGCAGCCATCTTTATATGAACCTTTCATCCAGGCTTGGCAGTATAAAGTAACTAGCATACGTCGGCTGATACTCATGATCCGCTCTCTAAATAGCCTCATCCGACTTGCCACCAATGAAGCGATTGCGAAACAGTTTCCAGTACTGCCGGTCCGCCTCCTCCTGAAATCCGCGGTCGAGGTCAATGGTTGCGTTAGACACTGCCGACACGATAATACGGACGAAGACGGCCGGTAGAAAACGGGTAAATGAGGACGAGTCTAAGGGGCCGATGATGAATATCGTGACCATGGCAAACATGCGCTTCACACCGTGTTTGTGGATCAGAGGAAAGAGAGCCCGTCACATTCCGGGGCACTAGCCTATCGGATAAATCTAGTGGATGTATCTAAACCAACCATCATTTAAACTAACCCAAATTGAATAGAGCTGTAGTGTGTATCATTGTGACATTGTGCCATAATTAGGCGCAATGGTATGATAGGTAATCAAGATAATTGGCTCAGATGGATTCGTTGAGAAGCACAATTGGCAGCCGATATGACTGCACAATCCCGCTCTATCAGGTGAGAGCCTGGGCTCAACACTATTAGTGAAATTATTAATGCCGAAGATGCGTCTTAGCATCCCAGGTGATCCTGTATTCTCACACATGGCTGAGGTCGTGTTGTCTCAGGTCGTGTGAGCCATGGTGGTAATGGCGAGATACACTCAAGTGAAGACTCCAGATCCACTTTGTAGTGATGTGATAGGTATAGCAGCCACCTGAGTCACGGCATATGGCTTGGGAGAGTCTCGCAGGATCCTGCTTACATTGTCTCACGGCTTCGCCGAGTCGTCTTATCATGACGTGCTCTTTGTATCGAAGAAGTGGACAGAAAACTATCTACCCCTCATTGAGCGGTACACTTTACGTATAAATAGCACCTGGACTCGACTCTTGAATGAAAATCTATCGTCATCAAGAAACACTTCTTCGACTACCTCCACGAAAAAAACAAGCGCCTTCACGTAAACCTTCTCTTCCCCTCACATCTTCACAATGGCCGAACAGACCTCTGCTCCCTGGAAAGAGTCTGAGACCAAAGGCGGACAGAAGTATCAGGTCTCTGCCTCTCACTACGATATCACCGACCAGAGCGCCCCTGCTGCCAACAGCCCCCCTTTCAATGTCTAGGTTGACTGGAGACTCAACACCGAGGGCTCACCCTCCCAAGAGATCCGAAACAAGACGGGCATTACCTACTATAAGCTCGAGGAGGCTCCCTCATACTCGATCAAGAAGTAGCGTTTGACTATCTCGACCACTGACTTCTACAACTATACATTCTTCGACGACGAGCCGGATCAATATGGCCTGAATGTCTTTCGAACCAATGGCCTTCACTATGTCGAATATGACTTCAAGGACCCCAGAATCACGAGCATTACCGACAAATAAGTTAAATTTAATGCCTACCAGGAGGGGCAAGCTGCTTCCAATGAAGTCGAGCTCATCCACGGAAGGAGACGTCGGAAATATTTTGGTGGGGGACCCACGTTAGTTCAGGGTCATAAGAAGCGTAAAAGTGGATTGCGTAGTCTCTTATACCTCCCTCTAAATCTTACAATGTAGCCACTTTTCGATTCTACGCCCGGCGATTACCATACCTTACTTGAAAGAAAACTGGTCTTTCTCAATTCAATAAGAGCTGTGCTGTCCATCATAGGCTCGTTTAAAATCCTCTTTTCTTGATTGTTTTGATACTTCAATCTACTTACGAAGTGCCCGGTATAGACTGAGTGTAGTAAGTAAGGAACATGTCATGGTAGATGATTGTTATCTAGGCGTCGGTATTCCTGACATTGGTATATGACACTTTCAAATTCTGGGCAATTCTTGGTTTGGCCCTCAAGACAGTCTAGCACAGCACAGCGAAGAAGTGGGTCAAACATGTTTTCTGGTCTAGACATATCAGCATCCGTTCGTGGTCTCTCCACAGAAACTCGGGACCCGGACTTGGCCCGAGCCAAGGTTTCTCCGAAGGCCGAGGTCGGCGTCTCGATTAGGTAAAGCCCGGTATGAACCTGACACTATGATGTGGACGCCACGGACTCTCGGCAGCAATTGCCTTGCTCTTATTGCGTTTGAATATCCATAGCCCCGGGATTTTTGCCCAGATCCGAAGTCTTTTGATTCAGACTATCTTAGAGCAGTCTGGAAATCAATACCAACGCCCATCTGTCGTTCTCGATGGACCTATCAATCCGTCGATCTCCCAATACCCCGAAGGATGACCGCTCAGCCCTTCGCGACCTCCTCAAATCCCGTCAACGGAATCGCAAGGGCGTCCGTGGGAACCCAAAGTCATGTGTACCGTGCCGTGAAAGAAAAGTCAAATGCGACAAGGAATTGCCGTGTTCGACCTGCGACAAACGGGGACACCCGGATCTATGCAACTATGAAAGCTCTACACGACAGTCGCTCGGTGTCACACAGTCGCCAGCACGATCTGCGAGAAGAACTTCTGTAATTATTTCAACTCCGACCATATCTCAGGACCTCGAGGAATCGGACGCGATTAATATCGATATCGTCGAGGAACGGGTAGGAGATCTCATCCCTGGTCCAGAAGCCCAGAACGCAACCAATCCACAGATATCGGCAACGTCAAATCATACATCCACTGCACGAGAAGGTGGTGGCCGACTATTTCTAGCCGATAGTTCGGTGATAGGCATGACCAGACGACGCTCAATCCGGTCTAGCGATGACCCAGCTCGACAATCTGCTTTCGAGACAGGCATACTACCTCTCCTTGGCGTCAATGAAGAAGCGGACACGTCCGTATCGTCTTATCAGTCTCTACCAAGCGACCAGGAGATAGTCAGGCTCTTTGAACTATTTCGCCGTCGAGTACACCCCTTTCACGTCATAACCTCCAATTTAGACACCATCGAGCAACGAATCTGCCAACTGATCAACGCAAGGGGAGGATCGGACTTTGGTTCCGAGTCGTTGGAAGACCCTAGATGGCTGTCTCTAATTCACGCCATCATGGCTGCCGGAGCTCAATTCTCCGATATGAATCTACAAGATCGTCTCGCAGCGTCTCAACGACATAGTATGTTTTGGATCACCGCTTCATTCCATCCACTTCGATAAGATGCTGATCAGCCACAGCGAAACATTCATTTGATCTCCTACGGTCAACAGATTATCTCGCGAATCCATCAAAGGAAGCCGTTCAGACACTCCTTATCCTAGGAAACGTGCTTCAAAATGATATGAAACCTCAGGCAGCTTGGGTTCTTGGGGGCACAACCATCCGCCTCGCGCAATGCCTTGGTCTCCACAAGAAGACAGCTCGCTCACCAAAATCTCCGCTCACGGATGAAGAGGCTAAATATCTGAGGTACACCACATTGGCGTTTTTTGCAAGAATACATGTGCTAATTAGTGGTCAGATTGGCAATTGTTTGGCAGGATGCCCTCCTCGCGCTCGCTTTTGGTCGTCCACCAGCCTCCTATGAGTTGGATTTCGAAAGCGATTTGCCTCAGCTCTCCGAGTCTGTCGAAAGGCCGGGTCTATCCTACCTCCAAGCTATGAGCTGGCTATGTCATGTCACATTGCGCCATTTCTCGTTTCATTCCCAGTCGTCACTCGGGCCAGTTTCAGCACTCAACGACATTAAATCCATCGAAGCCTCTCTTTCGCCCCACTTAGTCGATCCCATGAGAAGTACTGCAATACCGCAGATTCAAGAGCACTACGCTTTCGAACTTCACCGGCATTTTGTCGTAGCTACTCTTTGTCGCCCGTTCGTGTCGAGAAACGGATCAGCAGGTCTCAGTGAAAGTGACAGGTCAAATGTCCTCGAGCACTTTCGAGAATCTCTCAAGCGCAGCGCCCGAGCTTATGTTCGGTTGAGGTCAATCGCAGGACATGCAAGGCGGTCTTGGGCCTTTACTCACAATGGCCTAACTTCAGTTCTTCTCTTGAGTTTAATGCGAGAGACGAGGTATCTTGCCGAGACCAGAACCCTTCAGGACGAGCTCATTGCAAGCCTTTCAGAGGGAGAAGGCAACTCCGCCCTGCTCACGGACTCTGGACCCAACGCGCAGCTTTCAGGCACTCTACAGAAGGCCTTAAAGGCTCTGCGAACTCTTCGATCGTTGACCGAGCGTGACGTTAGTTCTCATAGCTCAACCCATGAGAACAACAGCCAAGACATTGCAGCTCCTGGTCATATGCCCACTGTCGGCGGAAGGCCTGCAACAGTCCAAGATAATTCTTTTCGGATCCCAGAACAATCTGAGTAAGTCAGCCTCATCGTTAAATTTCTGAGACAAGTACTAACAAGCCAGCTTTTGGAACATCGGCGATGCCCAGTGGGAATTTCCCATCGATTTCGACATGTCTCCACTTGGCGCTTTTGACTACATCATGTCAGATCAGAAATATGAAAACAATTCATTTCTGCCAACTCTAGTGTGAAATTGAAAACTCTGTCTTGGGTTTTAATAATCACATAATTGACATTTTCTACACACTCTCCTAAGATATTGCAACAAATTTCAGGCGGAAGTGAATCCAAATGACTCCCAACGCTGCAGCACCTTCTCCTGGACATCGATGGGATAGGACTCCTGGAAGCTCGCAGCTTCCCAGTCACGGCCGGTGGTATACTCGGTTGGCATCAAACAATCGGAAACAACTTTTCCCCCCATACGAATGTCACCGTTGCCGTGCGACATATATGGGATCAACGGAAAGCCGCGTACGTCCTCGAAGTGGTACTCATCCAGGCCAGGGCGGCAGCGGGTAGAAAAGGCCCAGATTACGTCCTTGAAGTCATACACATCGATGTCGTCACCGACAATGACGAGGCGGTGGATCGTGTAGCCGACCTTATCATTGAAGACAATGTCGCCAATGGATCGGCAAAAGTCCTTCGCATTGGTGTTCATGGTGCGAAGTTTCTTCGTGTCGACTTGAAGGGCCACCCATGTTACCTGCGACTCGAAGGGGGAGAAAGCCTCCTTGATAGGCAAACCTTTGGACTTGAGGAGAAAACCGATCTCAGCGGCGGCTAGGGGTCCAATCATAGTGTGCTGGTTCGCGTTAGTGTCCTAATGCTGTCAAATGAGGGTGGCCACAGTGACCTACTGTCTCGTCAGTCAGTCGGCCGCAATTTGAGACTGGAAGAATAGCGTCCTTCCGGTGGGTGATGAGGTCGACCCTGTACTTCGGCTGGGGATGAGCATCGCCAGGAAAGACATATCTGAAAGGATAGTCAGTAATTTTGAAGCATTCTCCCAAAGAGTTGGAACCATCCACATACCCGTGCATTTCTCCGAATGGCCCCTCGGGTGCCGTCTCCGTAGCAGAGCAAACGCCCTCAAACACAATCTCCGAATTCGCTGGGACATGCAGGCCATTGGTATCACATTTGACAACCTCCAACGGTGCTCCAACCAGTGATCCAATATACTCCGCCTCAGACAGGCCGCTCGGCAAAGGCATGCTCGAAGCCATGATGGCGGCCGGCGGCACACCAAAGACCAGCGCCCACGGCATATCCTTACCCTCCTTTTTCCACATCTGGTGGATCTGCCAGATGTGTTGTGGCTCGATGACGAGCCCCGCAAGGTGGTTTTTGTCATATACCATGGCGCGTGCGATGGACCAGTTTGTCCACTTTCCGTCCGGCGATTGGACAATATGCATACCGTACGTCTGGATGTACTTTCCGCCATCAGACTGGTGCAGCATCGGTGCTGGCAATTTGGTGAGGTCGAATTGCTCTGGAGTCAGGCGGATCTCTTTGCAGGACCCGGTATCAGAGACAACCGGGGGAATTGGGACCGCACTCTTGGCGGCAATCATTTTGTCAAGTATCTCCTTCATAGTCGATGTGGAAGGGAGACCGAGGTGCCTCGCCAGTCTTCCAAAACGCTGGGAGGGATCAGATCGCAGAGAGTTTGGCGCGCCGAGGATACGCCAGAAGCCGTCTGCGTCTTGACCCTTGAGCTTGTTGAAGAGGGGTGCTCGTTCATCTGTCTCAACAACCTTGCGAATAATGGCGCCGACCTCGAGGTTTGGGTCACATTCTTCATTGATCTCGATGAGGTCGCCGTCGGATTTAAGCGCTTTGACGAAGGAGCGAAAGTTCAGGTGCGGGAGATCTTGGAGGCTTGATGGCGACATTTTCGTTTCCGTGGGTTGAGTTTGATTGAATGTATATGAAGAAGTTTTGATTTGCAATTGGCGGTAAGATGTAGTCCTGATGCAGCTGATGCAGGTGGCTATGTCGTGTTGATATATGTCTCTTCCATCGACCCCGGATGCCGGCAAGCAGTACAATGAGCGGGAGCATTGTTGCAGTCACCCCGAACTCGCCGAGGTGCCAGTCCAGAAACCCCCGGGCCAAGATGGAATTTTAGTCCTTAGGTGCTCCGCACCGTTGCCGGAAACCGAGATTGTGGATGTCTCAGTGGCTCTCGCCCCCGAAATCTCGGACATTTCGGTACTCCATCATCGTCCGGGTCTGAACTCTCCGGTTTCGCCGAAAAGGCTTGTATCGTGATCCCATTAAATACCCAGGTTGATTTCGCCGGAGACTCAATCTCATCCAGAGCCCAGAAATTATTTGACTAGCCCAAATCACAATAAAGACACCAGACTTTTTGACCGAATCCACAAACGAGCGGCAACTTCAGCAAATCACTGCCATCCACCCTCGAAGGCATCACGCCAGTATACGCTTTTGAAGAATTACAAACAAAAGGGTAGTCGACGAAATGAAAGACATAACACCTCGCAAAAAGATCATTGTCGCTTTGACAGGCGCGACAGGTGCGCAAATCGGAATTCACGTTCTTCAGACCCTCCGGAGGCTCAACGTCGAAACACACCTCATCATCAGCAAGTGGGCCGCCGAGACGATAAAGTGGGAAACCGATTACACGCCTACCGCGGTGAAAGCACTTGTAGACCACGCCTATAGCTCGCACGATCTAGCTGCTCCTATCGCGAGCGGGTCGTATCGCGTGGATGGCATGATTGTTGTCCCATGTTCCGTCAAGACCCTCGCTGCGATCAATGCGGGTATCTGTGATGACTTGGTGACGAGGGCAGCAGATGTCTGTTTAAAAGAGCGCAGGAGGTTGGTGTTGTCTGTGAGGGAGACGCCGTTTAGTGAGATTCATTTGAGGAATATGATGGAGGTGACGAGGGCAGGAGCGATTGTTGCGCCGCCTGTGGTGGGATTTTATACGCGGCCGTCGTCAATTGATGATGTTCTCGATCAGATGGTTGGAAGGTTGTTGGATCTTTTCGATTTAGATGCGAGGAACTTTGAAAGATGGGATGGGATGCAGAAGAGTACCACAAATAGCACGTAATATTGATTCACTCGACTGTACACCAGGTCATCTTTGCTGAAAGATAGTCACGGCTGGTTGAAGTTTTTGGACCAGTGCGGACTGTGACGGGAGCAGGTAGGATGTCATCTCTGGCATAGCTTAGCCTCGACTATAAGTTCGAGTCCCTTGGGCAGGCTGACTTCTACGTCGGGCCGCAATAGGAGTCGAGTCCAGCAAAAAGCTGATCCCATCCAAATGTGTTGCCATCCCCAACAAGATCGTTCCAAAGGCTGTCGAGACCGAGAGCGTCTTCTCCGGTCAAACTAGAGTTCCCAGCACTGAGACCGTCGTCAGAAACGGTCCTCAATCCGGTCATTGTCACCGATTCAGGATAGTAAGTCGAAGATTCTGCACCGATGGACTCTCTGTCGTCTTCCACGTCTGGCGGGGCAGCCTCATCCACCCCCTGGACACGATAGCGACGCAAAACGCCAGTAAGATTCTGAACAAGCTGCGCAGCAATCACAGATTCTTTTCCGGCTAAAGCCAAAGCACGGCAAGCTTGTACAACCTCCGCATGCGTCTCTGCTGATGCACCAGATACCAGCCATGGTCTTTTACCGTCTGTCAAGCCCTCGCGACTTGAAACGCCTCCTGAGTGAAGGGCCAAGATTGTACACGCCATGAACATATGACCGATAACACAGCCTAGACGGCAGCCGATAGCTCGTGAGCTCAAGGTTTGCACTGGCTCTCTAGTCTGTGATACCTTTAGTAGGCGTGTTGCGATTGCGAGGACCGTTCGGGCTGAGCTCAGACATATCTCTCGTGATGCCTGGTATTGGGAATCTTGCTTATCGTGGAGCAAGAATGGCCGGTGTAATCTAGCGCGTCGTGAGAGGAAACCGAGTAAAACAACGTCTCTCTGTAGTGATAGATAGCGCGGCGCCGTCTTTGGAATGGGACCGTCGGGGCGGAGGAATGGAGGAAAGTCGGCAATTGCATCTTCGAAAAGACGATCTAATTCAAGGACTTGTTCATAGTCCGTTATTTCAGCATCTGGCATCCCTGGAGCTCTGGCATCGATGACAGAACGAGCAATACCAGCGAGTTGGATGCGCCGGATGAAGCAGCTCATCGTCGTTGCAGTATCTGTAGGCATGCTGATGGCCTCGTTTGAAAAGCTCTCCTCGTCATCGTTGATGTTTCGAGGTTCCTTGACGTTCATTTGTCGCGGCTGAACATTGTATGTCCCGTCCGTAGGTCCTCCCATGAGACCCAGCATCCTGAACTATAATGAGCAATAGTCGGCGTAACAGTAGGTAAGGAGAGTGATATACCAGTCTGTAGCAGTGATATGCCACCACACCCTTCGCTTGATTTCTTTCATAGCTTCCTCGTCCTGCTGCTCCGAACCAGGGCCGTCGATTAAGTGCAGGCTCATCTCTCGAGCTGATGATAACGAACAACCATGAAGAAATCTGAAACGAGCTGAGCAGCCTTCCATGTTGTAGACCAGATAAGCGAGTATCGAACGTGCCTGTACTTCTTCCAGACTGCCGCAAGCATTCGCCTGTGATTTTCCCAGTATGTTGAGAGAGGATTTAAACCAAGTTACGGCGGCGTGCGTGGCTTCTTCCAAAGTTTCAAAAGCTCCGTTGACTTGAGACCCTTCGGTGAAGAAGAAAGCACTCGTGGCTGCGATTCCTAGAATCAAAGCAGCGTGTGCTGGGTCAGGGTCCCCTCCGCTAGTTAGGACTGAATAGAAGTTGACAATCATAGATCTGGCTGCAGTTGGATGAAGTATGGGAAGGAGATGAAAGGGATTGTCGAGAAAGTCTTGTAGCAGTAGCAATGCCTCTTCTTGAGTCATCATCCAGGCTGATAATCGTGCTTCTGAATCTTGGGGGGGCGTAAGGCCAGGGGTGGTGCTCGTGGGTGTCTTTGGGAACTGCGAGACATTTGCGACGTGGTAATCCACTTTGTCAAAGGGGAGAGTGACCTAGGAAAGTGTTCATTAGTATTTCGAACATCGCGATCCTGATGCTGTACTTCTCACATTTAGACCGTTTCGCGTAAATGTTGAATCGAGAAACTTTGCTGTTTGCTGCCGTTCGTTGTCCACGAACCTACGTCGTTGAGAATGCCGTGTTGATAGGCCGAGACTCCGTCGTTGGGATGATTTCGGGCGCTCTGACCTTTCAGGGTCGACGAAATCTGCAAACTGCTCCATGGAAAATCCGGTGCCGGTAGATGGTGCCGGCCCAAACACAGCTTGCTCCAACTTCTGGAGCCGACTCAGAATCGAGTCGTCAGCGTTGTCGCTCAATCTTGGTAAACGGCTATCCCGGGGCCGTGGTAAGCTAAGAGAAGCCAATTGTAGATTTGTATACATTATTTCCATAATTACCTCAATTCCGCAATTGGCGTTTGTGGTCCTGGCTGTCCTGCGCATGACAAGCCACGCATCACACAGCTCGAACACGGGTCTCCGCGGTCGCACTTGAGCTTCTTTTTGCGGCACGAGTCACAAGACACCTGGGGTTGACGACGTCGTTTCTGTGCTGCAACCCCGGCATCAGACTGTATGGCGCGCTTCATAATGAATTGATTGATTTGTAAATTTGTCTCGTGGCTCACCGATGGGCTTTGCTGACGTTGATGATGTAAAGTTCAAGTTCGTTCCTTGCCCGCGGACCTTCCACGGGTTGGAAGGGTCTTCCACGGATAATCCGCGGCGCTTAACAACTCCAGCCAAGCTGCCTCGCCGAAGGTAATAACAGGGCAGCAAAGCATGAATGTTTATTAAATAAACATTGAGAACCTTCTAAATAAATCATCGGAACTTCGAGGGCCTCAAGTAACTTCATATCCTTTTGCCGCTTTTTACGCCATCCAGAGCGTCCCGGACTTCGTACCATGTCCACAAAAAGCGTGTCTAACATCGCCATGGAAGCATCTCCACCTCCTCCTGGTCACGATAGGTGAGCTCATGGTTTTCTGACTTCAGAGATAATCAAGGAAGCTGATCCGCGTCTGTTAGTATTCGATCATGGCTTGCCGTTCTCGGAGCTTCACTTTCGCTGTTTTGCACAGTTGGCTTCCTCAATGCATTCGGCATTTTTCAAGAATATTACCAAATGTACCTCGATAAATCAAAGTCTGATATTTCCTGGATTGGATCAATGTCTATCTTCATCATCTACCTAGGTGCACCAATATCAGGCATTCTAACCGACAGATTGGGACCCACAGTACGTTCATGTTGACTTCAACCCGGCCGACCTCGGCATTCTATGATTCACGCTTTCCAGGTCCTCTTGTGTATTGGCAGCATCGGTCAAGTCTTTTCTCTCTTCATGACTTCTCTCTGCGAAGAGTACTACCAGGCTTTTTTGGCCCAGGGAGTTTTGCTCGGAGTGAGCATGTCGCTCATTTTTTGTCCCCCTGTGGCTGTGGTGTCACGCCGCATGCCTCATTGCCGTGGCCTTGCCCTGGGCCTCACAATTGGCGGGTCCTCCATCGGTGGCATCATCTGGCCGATCATGTTGGAGCAACTGCTTAACAAACGCCAGCTCGGTTTTGGATGGACTATGAGGATCGTCGCTTTCACCATGGTTCCTCTTCTCGCTATCACCTGCATCACTGTGGTTGATGCCCCCGCACCCAAGGCATCTTTGAGTCCACTCCAGGCGGCATTAGATAGGAACGAGAAGGGTGCGGTATCATCAAATGACGAGATACAGTCCCAAACGAAGTCCAGCTACTCGATCATTAAGAATACGACATTTATGCTGCTCTGTGGAGGGTTAGCGCTCGGCTACTTTGGGCTCTTCACGCCCCTCTTCTTTATCACAGATTTCGGCGTTCAACACGGCTTTTCCGCATCGACAGCATTTTACCTTTTATCCGGACTCAACGGCGCTTCGTTTCTGGGACGAGTTGTCCCTGGGTTTCTTGCAGACCGGTATGGGCATTTCAATCTTTGCGCGCTGGCGACTCTTGCGGCTGGGATCGTTGGTTTTTCCTGGACAGCGGCGACGTCTCTTCCTGGTTTGGTAGTGTGGAGTTTGGCGTACGGGTTTTCCTCTGGAGTGAGTAGATTTGTATCGTGGACTTCCGTGACGATGGCTGACGCATTTGAAGGCCATCATGAGCTTGCAGGGTGCATGCGTAGGAAAGATTGCGCATCATCGTCATCAGGGATTAGCTGTCGGCTGCATGATGGGCTCCATCGCTGTGACGTGAGTTGACCCTCGTCTTTTTGTTTTTCCAATGCCTAGGGCGATTCGTGGAAACTGACCATGATGATGGGCAGCGCTCTTGTCGGGCCTCCCATCAGCGGCCAGATTCTCGCGCACGCTGGATATCTCGCCTTATCGATGTGGACCGGTGCAACTCTCGTGGTCGGAGCTGCCATCCTTACTGTTGCCAGATGGCGGCTAAACAATGGTTTGACTGCAGTCGTGTAAATTGAAATATCTTTCGTTCATCTGCAGACCCCTATGGTTCTGGCTCCACCTGCGATGATTGTTTCCGAGCCGAGAGTACTTTATGGAGAGGCCCAGGTGCGGAGGTGATATTGTCTACCAAGGTACCTTGTCCTGAACGGGCCGAAGTTGTTCCTACTTCGCGGGAGGTCAAGGTTGCTCGGGGTTTTTTTGTTCCGTTTGTGTTCCCCGATAGTGGGATCTCTGATGCCTTGTGGCTCGGGTGTGGCTGGTGGATATGGCTTCTCTGGATCTCTGGTGTGCAGGTTAGGGGGGAAAAAAGCTTTCCGACCTTTCGAAATGACCACAAGCTAGCCTCGCACGATCTTGCTAAACAATCACTTGATCACATTTTTGCTTTACTTTATTGTCACTCATTCCATCAACATGCGTTAATACATTCTGTCTGTCTTCTTGTATTGACTTGCTCTTTGCCAGGCTTTGCCTGAGCCTCACTTTCTGACCAGATTTCTTGGACCTTGCCTCTGGACAGGATTGGCCAATCGAACACGTTCTGACCTCCCTTTAGTTGCGCGCCGCTTCCTTGATCTGCATCTTTTGACAGGTCGGGACGGCTCGGAATGAGTCCATCGCCTTAATGTCCCACCAGTTCCATATCGCCGGCGCGAGCCACGCTCTCCTCGACCCATGGTCCCAAGGAGCAGGCGTGGTGAGGGACGTTCTCACTCGGTGGTCCGAGCTCGATATCACACAAATTGGCTCCCTTATTGCCATAGCCGGCACCCTTCCTACGGCTTGGAGACTAATGCAACGTGCTTGGCGAGAAGCGTATAGTTGCATTCGGCGCTTTTTTCTCGCTTCCGTCACGATTCCGGGTGGTGACCCGGTCAATCGGAGCGTCGTGAAATGGGTCCTCGCCAACCGGCCCCGGCATTATCGCTCCTTCACCGGTCGTACCGAGGTTGGACGCCCCAACCCAGACCGTGCCGCCGCTCTAAAGAAGACGCGCCACACCGTTCAGTACTGTCCACACTGGATAACACGGTGGCTTTGGTTCAAAGGCAACTTTCTTGTCGTCACACGTGCCGTTGGGGATTTCAATTCTTCGCTATCCGACCCTAGCTATGATGGAATCGGAGGCGAGGACCTGACCATCAGCTGCTTCGGATGGTCGGCGCATCCTGTCCAGAACTTCATCGAGGCCTGCCGCGAGTACGCCGACAGGCAGACGCAGTACTTCGTCATCATCTACTCCCGCGACCGTTACGGCATGTCATGGAAAGCTAAAGCCCGCAAGCCCCTTCGCCACCTCGACACCGTACACTTTGACCTCGGCTTGAAGCAGGAGTTGCTTGCTGATATCCGGAACTACCTGGATCCGAAGACCCAGATGCGTTATCAAAGCCGGAGTATGCCGTACCGGAGAGGCTACCTCTTTTACGGCCCGCCCGGAACTGGCAAGTCCTCGCTTTCTGTGGCGATTGCCGGCGAGTTTGGATTGGATCTCTACGAGGTCAAGATTCCTAGTGTGGCAACGGATGCCGATCTGGAGCAGATGTTCCAGGAAATTCCGCCGCGATGTGTGGTTCTTCTTGAAGACATCGATGCCGTATGGGTGGAGCGTTCCAGCAATCAAGAGAAGATCGGCAGCGAGAATGGGCGAGCACATTCACCGGAGAGCAGCAATGTGCCCAATTGCACTCTTTCCGGACTATTGAATGTTTTGGACGGCGTTGGATCGCAGGAGGGCCGTATCGTCATTATGACTACGAACCGACCCGAGCAACTCGATAGTGCCTTGATTCGGCCTGGCCGCGTCGACATGAAGGTCCTTCTGGGCAATATTAGCCCAAAGTCAGCGGCGGACATGTTCGTGCGGATGTTTTCTCCAGACCTAGGGTGCACAACACACCTGAAAATGGAAGAAATCCAAAAGCTTTCTGTTCAGTTTTCCAGCATGATACCGGAAGACACCTTGACTCCATCTCAATTGCAGGGGTTTTTCCAGGTACATTTAGAGAGCCCGTATCATGCGGTAGAAAGCATCGCAAGTTGGGTCGAAAAAGAGCTTGCAAGAGCTCACTTCAAAGAGTTTGAGTTTATAACGTCCCATGGGAAGGCTTAGAAGTCGAGTGTGTAATAGCTATTTACCCTACTGTAAAATCATCTGTATAACTGGATTTAGATCCTGGGTGGAGTTTTGCTAATTCTTTTATTGTCTTGTTTACCTGTTCACCGCCGTTGTTTGTGTTGGGCGAGAAAGGCCTGCATCACAGGATGCCAGCAGTAAATGCACGCAGCACCCCACGGGTCTAGTTTTCAAACCGTTGATCGATGTCGCTATCGGCACATAACGTTCCCCAAACAATTATTACACAATTTTGAAACGATTGTCTTTAATTTGATGTTTACACTCTTATGGTGCGGTGCCTAAACCTGTAAATTATTGCTCATCATCTCCTTGCATTGAAATGCTTGACCCGGACAGCTCGCACTCCCAAACCCCAACTTTGCCGAATTTAAAGTATGCCAGTATCCCTAACAACTCCTCTCGCCATCAGTAATACGCAAGACCGATCTTCAGACTGTCGTAACTCATCCCATTGGTCTACGGGCTTGCTCTTCGGTTTCAGACGCAGGGTTCCCCGTGTCCAATGGGAGAAGAGAAAGCTCACAAGCTCACAAGTCTAAGTTGTCGAGACGACCAAGAAAGTTCGAATATCCCCGAGAACGAAACCGTCGTCCATGAAAGGCAAGAGTAGCCGGAACTTTCGTACAGCGGCTTCCACAATCCGTCGACATGGACGGGACCATGTGCGATAGGCATGTCCCTGGCCTTGGCGTCGAAGGGTTCTGAGGTGATGGCCAAGAATGGAGTTTGCAGTATTAAGTCCCATATCCTTGTGGTATATGTAACGAGGTAGGCACTGTTTGTACAGTTCACAGAGGACTTTTGGAGCCGATGTGAGAGTGCGTCATTTCATCGGACGAAACCACCTCAAATATACAATTATGTCGACTTCTGCCCTTGAAACGGACATCTGACGAAGGCGAATAGAAAGCAAAACAGCCCCGAATACCCTCATCAACTTTCCACAAATCCAACCGACAGGGCTGCGAATTAGTCCTTCTGAATCGTAGGTATTATGAATAACAGCGGCGTCGCGACAAGTGCATAGTTCTAAGCTAAAAGGATGCATAATTAAATCATTTTTCTAAAGTCGTCGCAAAAATGCATATGTTCTGGAGCAAGTGGGAGAATATACAAAATTAAGTAGTGCCCCGCCCTGAAAACTGCCGTTTCTGTAAGCCCCGGTATACTTTGGAGGCTAGCTTCAGGCAGATTCGGAAATCAAACCTTCCTGCCCGTCACCAATCAGCTAGGCTCAGAGTATGCCCTGTGACAAGTTGCACTTGAAGTCTATCTTTACTTCATAATCAGTCTGAAAATTATTGTCCATCTATCGTCCCAGTTTTACGCGATATTGGAGCAAGAATAAAAAGGGTTGAATTCCTCTCTCGGCATCTAAACCTTTCTCTTACTTGACTTTCTGTAACACGCGTCCCATCGCATATCAGCCTTGCAAAGCTAACGTTCCAACTCCATTAATCATGGTCACTATGCGAATCCTTCTTATCCTGCTGCCTCTGGCTGCGGCAATGCCGCCATACGACTTCGCCTCCAACCCTCTTGTCCGACGACATTGCGTGGAGCCCAAGAATTGCGGTGCCACTATTCAAGGAACAATGTGCAACTTTTGTTGCGCAAAGGATGTAAAGCCCGATAGCACGCACTGTAAATCTGCGAATGCGGCATGCCAGGCTGGTGGAAAGCCTGACGGTGTGACATTCAACTGTGATGCCGACTAGTTCAAGGAGTCGACAAAATCGGCGGTACGTCAGTCAACTTCCAACAACAGCATATTACCTCTGTCAATCATCGCTGATGAGACTAAGAAGAAACTTTCATCTGTTCCCGATATGGAGCGTTGTATCACGGTCTGTAGGGAGTTGACAAAGCCTAAGCAGCGTCTTTGAAGGCTTGGAGAGTGTATGGTTTCGCGAGGCCAGTTGTTTGTGGCAAAACATCAGAGGGAAACTACTGTATTACATGTAAATCATTCGATGATATATGCCTCTGACTCGCCACCGCGGGTTGTCAAGCCCCTTCCTGTTGTTGATGTTCCCTCATGATCTGCAGCTGCATCAATTCTCTAAGTAGCCTTCTTACTCTTGTAACCAAGCACCTGTTGATCGCTTTCGTCAGCTCGCCCTTGCCGGTAGTGAGCATCCAATTCATCAGATATGACAGGATCTTCCTGGCTTGAAAGTCGTGTTCAGGACAGAACTATGGTCCACTCCACTGCCCGCAGGCTGTTGACAAGCGGGACCGAAGATCCCGCCAGTTGAAGCCTTGAGGCGAGGGTAGCCATGTGTAGGAAGTTTGAGCTTGACTTGCTTAACAACAACAAGCCCAGAAGTCTACATGCTGTGTATGATTCATGGCCCCGGGTGCGGATGAAGGATCACTCTTTTCAAACTAGACTTCTTATCCGGCGGCTTCAGCATTGACAAACATTGGTCAGCCACTTATATCACAGTGCAACCAATACTGACATGTTCTGGGCGAGCAACGATTTTGTGTCCACTCAAAGATCCTTCAGGTGGTTGTCCAGCCATGTTTCCAACTATCAAAAGTCTTCCACTAGATAACCCAACACCATGCGATATCATGATTCCCTGGCGGCCCAGATTTCACTAAGCCCTTGTCGGCCGACCATTCAATACCACAAGTCTGCAGCCCGAAGCTTCGGCGCGCTATCTACGCTAAACAAGTCTCTTGTAGCTCTCATCCTACTTCCCGTTGTCTCCTGTGGCTTCATAGCATTGTCTTCAAGATTTTGAGCAAGAACCCGAACACCTTTCCTCTAACTCTCAAGGATATCTTCGTCGATTACATCTACCTGGCTTTCTTCGGTCGATCTCTTGGCACAACGATGGATGGGATTGATATTTCCAGCTCTATGGAGATCCCTTCGTGACTGAAACGTCAAGTGGCTCCGCTATGAAGTACTTCCAAATTTAAGAAGAAGCACGAGAGCTATTCCGTGAGATATACGTCATAATCAACAAGAATCACGCAAAATCAACTTTCCGGAGGGGTCCAAATGCCATGCATTGGCTAAGTTTAAAGGGGAAGGTGATGTTGTTTCTTACGTCATGCACGGCGACGCGTTATTAGAGAATTTCTGGACACTTGCTTTTCCCGGAAAGAGATAATTGCTAGCTTGGAGAATTGATCGACTTCGTGGCCCAGTCCGGAGGCTGCCTAATGCGCACGCAATCGACCTACTGCTCTTATGCAGCTTGGCACTGACGGTGTGTCGTGGTGTGTGATTTCGACAAGCGAAAACAGCGTACTTATAAGTGCGTCGTTAGCAGTTAGGATGGTCGAAAATTGTGTTTCCCAGTGTTGCCATACTAGCAATTTTTGTTGACGTGTCGCTGAGATGAGAACTGTCACCATAGTTTCCGTGTTTTCTACGCTCGCCGCCAGCTTCAACTTTCAGAGGAGGAGTCCAGTGAATTATGAGGGCTACCAGGTTCTCCGAGTGAAAACACTCAACCAACTAGCAACAGTGCAAGCCAAACTTGCCACAATTCCTCATGAAAAATGGAACCACGACGTCGATACTCACATGGACATCGTCATTTCGCCAGACCAAGTCAGTAGTGTTGAGTCATTTGGACTAGACTACCGCATCCTGCACAGAGACCTCGGCGAGTCGATCGCCGCCGAATCTCAAGTTCGCACCGCATATAAGCGCGACATCGACGATCTTTCGTGGTTCGACTCGTACCACTCGTATACGGACCATGTCCAATACTTCACCGACCTCCACGAAGCATTTTCTGAAAACTCTGAGCTAGTGTACTCAGGGCAATCGTTCGAGAATCGGACAATTCACGGAATCCACCTTTTCGGCGATGAGGGTCCGGGAAAGCCTGCCGTACTTTACCAGTAAGAATGATGGCTTAGCCCCCAACTGCTATAGTCTCAGATTCTGATGACGATACGATAGTGGCACCGTTCACGCAAGAGAGTGGATTGCAGCCCCTGTGAGTCAATGCATGACATTGTCAAAGTATTGGGCATAAACTGGGCTAATCGTTCCCTGGCACAGGTTATTGAGTATATTAGTCTACAGCTGATCAACGCACACAAGAACGCCACCAATGCTTCGGATTCCATTTTAAATCAATACGATTTCCACATCTTCCCCATTGTCAATCCAGATGGTAAGTTAGGCCGTACAGGCTTTATCATAAAGAACTCACAAGCGCTTACCCGAACCAGGCTTCACATTCTCCCAGGAAGTCGACCGTCTGTGGCGCAAGACACGCACCCCCCCACCTTTGAATTCGACTTGCTACGGAACCGACATCAACAGAAATTGGGAGTACGGATGGGACGCAAATCCGTTTGGCGCTTCTACCAACCCGTGTGCACAATCCTACCGCGGCCAGAAGCCTTCCGACACCATCGAAAACCAAGGCCTAGACGCTTATGTCCGCAAGCTGCGCGATACCAGCGGTGTCAAATTGTATATTGATTGGCACAGTTACGGCCAATATATTCTTTCGCCCTTCGGTTCCAAGGAGACTTGGTATGCTCCCGAGCTGGGCAAGTGGACCAAGACTGCTTCGGTGCTCAGCGAGGTCATCCGTGACAGCTCCGAGAGACGCACGACTTTCACATTCGGGCCCAGCGGTGCTACCCTCTATACCACTACAGGAGCAGCCCCTGACCATGTTTACGCGATTGGCGGCGCGGACTTCTCCTACACTATTGAGCTTCCTGATACAGGAGATTACGGCTTCGTCTTGCCTCCCGATCGCATTCTGGGCGCCGCGGAAGAGCAGTGGGAAGGACAACAGGTGCTTTATACTTTGTTGGATGAGGTGTTTTTTGATGGAATAGGAGCCGCCTAACCGTTAACTACGCCATGTTGATTAAACCTGTAGATATTATTCTGTACTATTGTGGTAAACCGTGACTGGTCAATAGCCGACATCTGCATATTTCTACTTAGCTTCGAAACAAATGCCGGCAGTGTCACGGGACGAGCTGAAGCTAATACTTGGATTGGAGAGCTTGGCAAAGTTTGATCGTGGCTGTAGAGCGTAGCTACCTTAAGGTAGTCGGTGGGAAGGAGCAACATCATTTGAATCAATGAAAGCCCTTCCATCTTTCCAAAAGAAGACATGAAACCACGTGATTCCCCAAACTCGTTAATCCGTGCAATTCTATCTACATCATCCGCTGTGTCGCGCGTCCCAGTTCTGGGGATCCACATGTATAGGAAGAACAAGCAAAATTGTGCAAATGAGGGAGCGCGACTTGAAAATTGGTTTAGGCAAGATTCCAATTGGTACTAGCTCTTTCATGTCAAATTCATAATTTCTACTCCGATGTTTTGGTGGAAGCAAGCTGAGAGGCAGCTAGCACTTCCATGTATGGTGGGGAGACGCGGGAGGAACTAACCAGATTCCTCGTTCCTCCATTTACCCATGCCGCCGGATGATACTCACAGGATATTCCCCCAATCAACGTGCAGGCCGCAGAAAGTCATGGTTTGACCTCCACTTACCTAGGTACGGAGTCATTGCGCCCCTACGGCATCTACATAACATATTCTCTTGCCCACCAAAAGTTTCTCAAGTCTGCTATACATTGGTCCTCCGAGCTCGAAACACATCTTCGGTCAAAATCTTCACAAACACGATTGTCGACTCACCGAATGCCAGTGACGAGATACTCGGATCACTAAAGTAGACATGGCCAAGTCAGGAATCGCCAATGCCGCATGCCTTATAGGCCTGCTATTCGCTTCCCCATGGCTTACTAGAACACACGCGAAACCTCCGCCGTCTGATACACTGTGGCAAGTATCACCGCCATTGGATTACAACGATAAACTCTTTGCGGGATGGAAGCAGGTATCGGTTGAAGCAGAGATTCAAATCTACAACGGAGTGGCAGAGAACCGTACATACGCGCACCACCCAGAACTCTTTGCTATCGGATCCAATGTCCTCCTCATCTACTCCTCTGCTCCAGTCGACGAAGATAGTATGGGCCAAGACATATGGATCTCGACCTCGAGTGACAATGGATCAACTTGGAGCCCTGGGAGAAGCCTGATGCCGGCCGCTCTACTTCCAAACCAGACAGAAACGTATAACTGGAAGTATTGGTGCGACCGCGGTATTGCTCAGCGTGCATGGCAGGCCTTGACCTTCGTACAACTCGAGGGCGAACTTTATGCCGTCGGCCAATCAGGTAGTAGGTGGTGTCCAGGTCGGTGGGCAAGTGCAGGTCGAATAGCACGCAAAATTTCTCTCAGCGGAGAACCGCTTGCGGATCCCTGCTGGCTGGAACAGAATGAATTCACCCAATCCGAATTGTATGCGGAGACCGTTTATGGCACTGAATACAACATGGAATACTGCGCCAGAGCCTGCGAAATCAACGCAATTTTGAGAGAACCGGATGAGGCGCCGGCTTGGTCGCCATGGCTTTACAACAAAGGCCTATATGCCGCCGATGGATTGCATCAAATGGAAGAACAGAGCTTTGCGGTTTGGCACAACGACAGTGATTCACCTACAGGAGGGTATTGGCAACGACATTGGCGCGACATCACTTCAGAGGCAAATAATACCCACTCAGTGTGGGTTGAGTATAACACAGATCCAAAGGGGAACGGCTGGTATCCCAAAACCATGAACTCGCACGGCAATACGATTCATCAAACAAACATACCAGACGCAAAGACAAAACAATTTCTGGGGAAGCTCGATGATACCGGCGACAGATTTCTGTTGTCGAATCCAAGATACAATGTCGCAGACCCTCAGCGACAACCACTGACCTTGGCATTATCTCGTGGAGCCGACCAGACTTATAAGTGGATCGGTGTGTTAAGAACGAATGCGGCAAAGGAGATTGTCCCAGACACGCGTGATGGAATCAAGAATCGGGCGTTTGGCTTTAGCTATCCTAGCGCAGTTCAGGTCGGCAGGAAGCTGCTAATTGCTTACAGCGAGAATAAAGAGAATATTTGGGTGAGCGTCGTTGACATATCTGCACTTCCACAGTAGTAATGAGGCGACTCATTGCTTCGGGTTCATAACCTGCATCTAGCTATTGAGATTGGTATCAGTGTCTCTTCTTGACATTAGGGTAGAATTGTAGTAAGGAGGCAGCAAAGAGATTGAATGATTCAGCCTACATTAATGAGAATAGTTCTAGTGAACTCAAGGATGGCTAGACGCATTCCTCCGCCACAACTAAACGAGCATCAGGTCGGTATGTCCTGATGTGATGTCTACATGTAGTATGGAGGGCTAACCCTGTGACGTCAATGACTGAATATAAACTTCCGGCGTTGATCTGCAGTTGCATCCAGTAGGTTAGCTTCTTCGATTGTTGCTGACTAAATCAGTCACAAAACAGAAACGGATATGTCATCATCGGTCACGGATGGTCCTGGCTTTCCGCGGAATACAAATTCCGGCATCGAAGAGACCTGTAACCCAATTTGCACGATATTGAAGTAACGCGTGCGAGTTCCACAGAATCCCTCCTCTGTTTGGACTTACCATCGCGTCAGATTCCACGATTCTGTGTACTCATTCTCAGTTCATGCCAAGGCTTCACTGAAATTGTCCATTATGCCCGAAAAACTTCTGTTCACGGGCGCGTCAGGCTTCATGTGCGCTCCACGCTTTTTTCCGATCTGGACTTGTCCTGACAAACTAACTGCTTCTTAGTGGTGGCACTGTTCTGACGCAACTCTTGAACTCTTCTTACAATGATGTCAATGCATTGTCAATTACCGCTTTAGTCAGGAGGCAAGAACAAGCCGATATTTTGAGCCAGAAAGGGATCCATGCCATCATCTTCACGGGCCTAGACGATTCTCAATTTCTGACGAAGATTGCAAGTGAGCACGACTACGTTGTCCACACGCCGACTGGCTTCCATACACGCTCGGCTGTAGCTCTTTTAGAAGGGTTAGCAGAGAGGAAGAAGCAGACAGGAAGAGATGTTCACTTCATTCACGTAAGTTTCCGCACTATTCTGAATCTTGATGCGATATCTTTAACAGAACCATGGATGAGCCAGACATCGGGAACCTCCAACCTTGCGGAAAGAACGATCACCCAACAGTCGGGTGATATTCATCAATGGTCAGATAAGGAAAAAGTGTACGAACATGAGGAAAAGAAAGAGACCCAGGAGGCTTACGGGCAGCGAACAACAGATATTGCTGTTGTTAGGACCGCAGAGAAGACCGGAGTCAAAGCATATATCATGATGCCACCCACAGTCTACGGGCGGGGCACCGGCCTGTTCAATCAAGGATCAATGCAAATTCCTAGCATTATTCGTGGCGCGATCAAGGCTGGCGTCCCTGAATACGTAGGTGAGGGCACAGCCCGTCTTGGGCATGTCCATGTTACGGATCTTGCCCTACTGTATGAGCTTATACTTAGCAAGATCCTCTCTGGAGAGAGGATTCCTCATGGCAAGAGAGGGATTTACTTCTCCAACACTGGAAGTCACAGTTGGCGAGACCTCGCAGCCTTGGTTGGTAAAGCAGGTGGCTCGCTTGGTGTTTTGGAGTCAATAGAGCCTCGGTCGGTGAGCTTGGAAGAAGCTGGCTTGAGATGGCTGAATGCGACACCCCAGATTGCAGAGATGAATTATGCTGCATAGTAGGTTATTTCAAGCGTGCCAATTAACCATTTAAGTGTGTGAAAAGCAAAGATGCTGATTTCTTCAGCTCTTCTACCAAGCCTGTTTTGGCACCAGAGCTGGGTTGGAGGCCCACAAAGACGGAGGCCGATTGGGAGAACTCATTTGTGGAGGCGTTTCAAATGGTTTTGGATGAACAAGCCCAGAAATCATAAATATGTTTCTTCAACTCCTATTCAATATACTTTCTAGGTCTATCCAAGCCCCGTGGATTCTGCCTGTTCACAATACATTCTACTGGATACTCCTCTCTCGACCTACTACTGGTCTAATACCAATGCATGGATGGACCCAATGAAATGGATCCATAATCCATACCAAACTTGTAACCTGATGCTATCCGCGGATTGTAGTGAGCTTTAGTAGACATACAAGTTCATGGCATCTGGAATAGATGCCAAGGTTTTCCTATTCTGCCTTTGCAGCGCAATTCTCATGATCCAGGCGCAAACAACGACACCGAGAGAAAAGCCGATACTAGCAAGAATTGCAGTCAAGCATCTTGGCTCATCTGATTCTGGCCACAAGTAGGGAGTGTAGACGCTAGCAAGGTTGCCAAATGTGTTGGCCATGGCGATCGCAACGGCCTTCTTCTCATCCGTCTGGCCTAAAGTTGCTGAAGTCCACCCGAGAATGATATTGTTCACCTGAAATTCCATTAGGAAAAAGTAAATCTGGTGGAATCAAACCGGCATTTAGGTGAACTAATACCATACGTTGCTCCTACGAAGATCACGATACCGATCTATCTGACAGTGGTGTTGAGTGTGGCCACAGCCATGGCGAAGCCCGCACAAAAAATGAGCTTGCTCACTGTTGTGTGCCATGTACGTTCATTAAAACGGACTGAGGAATGCGAGACAACAATGCTCATGATGCCAGCTAGAATGTACGGCGGGCACGTGAGAACTAATGTGATTGTGGTGTTGTAGTTGAAGGTTTGGACAACGCTCTGCCTCTAGTCAGCTCATTGTACCCTGCAAGATCAGCTATGGCTGTGAGTCCTTACCGGCAAGAAGTTCTTGAAACCATTGGCTGAAAGGTGCAGGTTAACCATGAGGCAAAAGAGCCATGTTCTCCAATCGGTACAAGCCTCGCGCAATCCTTTCCAGACACTAGTGCCACCCTCGCGACGATCGATCGTATCATCAAATACGCGCTGGTGTGCCATTTGTCGTTGCTCCGGGCTGAGCCAACGGGTTTGAAGCGGAGTATCGGGGAGGAAGTAGAATGCCGCCAACGCAGCGCCAATGGAGACAGCACCCTGGACAATGAATAGCCTACCACGGTGAGTCTATGTTTTGGGTTGAATGAGCCGATTTCGACCATCCCATTGCCATCCTGCAAGGCCCTGCTTCCCATCAAGTCCGGCGAATATGCCAGCCGCAATCAGCCCAGAAAAAGCGCTGGCTAGCATGTTGCCAGTGTAAAAGACAGCCATGTGCGTCGCAATTTCTTTGCGGGTATAGAACATGCTTAGCATATAGAGTGCGCCAGGGTAGAACTAGACCAAAGTCAGCCAGTCCATATCTTAGATGACGGGGGCAACAACAACAACCGGATGGGTGCTTACCGGAGCTTCTGTGATACCGAGAAAGAATCGGCATACCAACATTGTCTTGTAGTCGTGTGCAAGGTACGTAAAGAGACTAATTATCGACCAAGTCAACATGAAGCCTGTGATGTGACTATGTGTTAGAACTATGCGTATCTTGTTGGATGCTTGGCATAAATACCTGTCGGATTGGAAGTCCAATTCGACCTCGCGGCAGCGCAGGGGCCACCCATCGGCAGTATAGTCGATTATCGCGGCCTACCCAACCTGCGGTTGGGACCTCCTTTTTACACCTACGCAGCCGATAATATAGTTCAATTGACCTACTACTACGTCAACCCACGGTTCGAACTAATCGACCAATATCCCTGTGATAGGGATACCAACAATACCCGCCATGTACCAGGATGGTCGCACTCGGTTCAGGATCATGTTTGATGGGATCTGATCACACAGGTACCTACCGATATCGAGATTAGTGGCGCCAAGGTACAAAAAGAAACAGTACTCACCTAACAAATAATATGGATACGCAAGTATTATATTCAGTTCCCTTCAGCTTAAGGTCTCTTGAGAGCGAGTCAAGCTTGCCATTGATCATTGCGTTTCGGTCGAGGAAATTCAAGAAGTACATGATCCATAAAATAGGCTGCGGTCAAGTTAGTAAGAGGGACATTTTACAAAGATTAACTGAAGCTCGTACCAAAATGTAGCAGTCAATCTTCTTCACGAGGGCGATCTCCTGGGGGTCAGTCTTGGTATGCGCCCCAAACTCGTCAACCTTGCCAATCTTGGCAACAGGCTTCTCGAGGCCTCCATTGGAACCGCCTGTCAAGACACGCTCCATTTGGCTCACATTTGCCTTGCCCTCTTCGGATTCTCTTGGCTCAGCCATTGTGCTTTGATGACTTGGAAAGACGCTGGCTTTTGTACCTTCCGCGCGTTGTCTCGACACCGGTCAGATCGTGGGATGATGTTGTATTTGAAACGTAAGACTTCGGTGTTAGACGTCACTATTCCCAGGTATCCTTCCATCTGTGCAGAGCTTCTTCTTATAAGGTGACAAGGAAAATCAGACTATCTCATCTGTCCATTGGCTCCTCTTAAAGTCCCGATAAGGAGAAGACTTATCCCCCAGGTGGAGCGTTCCCCCATGGGGGAGATGGGGCGCCGAGCTTTTCCGCTCGTGCGGGGTTCGGGGAAATGGTCTTCAATTCGGACCCTTCACTAGTACAGATACTTACCAGGACCGCGGACGCATATTGCCAGGGTCTTAGAGGGGGAGGATGTGACGGAAAATCACTTCTCCGAATACTCCAACAAATTTGGATCTTCGTTTGTGTAGCTGGAAAGCTTTTCCGTGTCAACCGATAGCATAACATGGCGAGGCTTCATGAACGGAAAAGTAACCTTTTCGAGGGAGGCATGTGGAGCGCATCAGCCCGAGAACCTGGTATTTTCTTACACTGACTCTGATTTATAATTGCGCGCTGTATCTTCTTCGACTTGTTGGAATTCAAGCCGGCAGTTCCGTGAAGATGTACCGTTTGCCTCCCCTCTTTTCTATTGCCTAGCTTCGGCCTCAGCTTTCCATCACGAGACACGTACATGCCTTGGTAAGGTAGGTCGAGAATCCCACGAAGGCCTCGCCCCTGCCGCAACGTACGGAGGAAATTCTACCAAACTTGATAGTGGAAGCTTGAGAGATTCTTGCGAATATTCCCACCGACGAAGCACTGATGACTGACCAGAACTTCAAAAGCAACCGATTGCGGACAAGCTAGTGCCACGTTCGTCTTGCTGTGGATCTGTCTACCCCAGGTGCTGCTTAAGCCTGCTGATGAGAGGCATGCATAACCTCAATATTATCCAGTTACTATGATTTCTAAGACTAATTCGGCAAGGTACCTTAGCTTCAGATTCTTTGCTTGTATTGCTTTTCCATGAGCTAGTCACCTATGGCAGGACATCATATCCACCTCACACTTTCACGGTGCTGAACGGATATGATGTCGTCAAATACGAAGACAAGTAAGCTTCAACGAAATTAATAGTTCTTCTGATGCTTATGTAGTCAATGTGGCGTGGGTGGAAACTTGCAATTTAAAGCTTGCTTAACGAGAGATGGTCTCTCGCACGGGCTTAACGAGCTTCCATCATTTCTGCATATTGTGGCTTCAGGTCTTTTGCAAAACTTTCCTGAACAGACCATAATGAGACTCAAAACTTAATACGGACAGCGTCAAAACTAAGTTTTTGCTCTCAGCTGAAGCAAAAGGGCCAAATTCAGCGATGCGCCCCAAGTGCCAAGTAGCGCCAAATTTTGCGCGGCTTGCATGAGAACTAAGTGGCTCCTGTCCCTGTTTATGCCTGTCGGGTCTGCTGAAGAGAGCCCAAAATCTAGTATTCCAGTGAGCTCCGAAATGCCCTGTCCGTGGTATGAGAAAGCGATATCTTGGAGATGTCTACGAAGGTGTGACTTCAGCGTTTCGGGGCTGCTTTTTAGAAATGCCCACTGTAAGACATGATTCAGGAAGACTCCAAAGATACTGTAAGGTGTGGCAGACTGTAAGGTCGGGTTGCTCATGATTGATGTAGTTTCAATGACTGATTTGGCAAAGGCGTCTAGAGACTCAAATGGCGGCTCTTGATGCGAATCAACACAACTGGTGTACCCGTTTGTGAAATAGATTCGAAGTCGGCCCAGGCTTTCGTCAACGGCATTTGCTCCGCCTTTTCCAAGGGCATCTTGCAAATCAGCAACGCACGTATGTAGTTGAATGTTTATCAGGCCACGAAGTATCTGAGATGCTTTTTGGAAGTACAGCACTAGACTTTGTGCCCCATCCGAGATCGGGTTACCACTGTGCTTGGTGCCGTAGTAGCACTCCCATGATTTCAAAGATGCTGAAGTAAAAGCGTCAGATTTGGCGGGGATGACTGAAAGACAGCATGCCTTACCAATGATGTTGTCCCGTATCCGCAGACCTTCCTGATGACAATCACTGTTCATATCTTGTACTATAGCAAGGTCACTACCGACCTGTACCGACCAATCATGCGACCAGTCCAGTGCCTGGCTAGCCAAAGAGCTTAGAACCAGGAATTGTGTCCACGGGCTGATGTTATCGGTAATAAGAGGGACTGATGGTGTCAAACTGGTGGACTGGGCTCTTCTGTTATTCGTAAGAGCCTTGTAGACAACGCCAAACTCTGGTGCCGGTGAACTCCCCAGTGATTTGACTAGAGCTTCCCAGGTAAGAGGACTCGTTGTACACCATGCGGCGTCGTCACCCGGGCACTCCCACCTAGAGACCTCTGCGAGAGACATCATACTCCGCATGTTCAAGATGGCAGGGAACTGTGAGTCGATCATGAACACATACCAGCGTAAACGGCGCTTGAACTCAGATTTTGCCCACGCCCTCCAACGATCTTCAACGTGAATCCCTGCGGCATCCGCAACCTTCGATTTTGGTTGGAACAGACGTCTGACGTATGTCACCAAACTTCCTCGGGATGCTTCGGCAGTCTCAAAGGCCCCTTTGTTTCCGCACCATAGCCCAGTATACACTAGGAGAGAAGATGCATAGATAGTTTCAGGATGTCTAGTCAAGCTTTTGTCGGCCTCGATCAGTACTTGAAGATTTTGACGAGCTCTGTTGAGCATGATTATGGAAAAGCGTCTTGTGTGCCGGATACGGCTGTATGTGGCGCCGATGATGATCATGGCGGATAGTAAAGATGCCGGCAAATGATCAACTGAGAGTGTCGGTAAGTGAAGTACAGGACTTTGTTCATAGAAACAGTCGAAAAAGAGTCCCAAGAACACATTCGCAACTGCCAGAGACGGCGGAATCAGATTCTCCGAGCCGGGAGTTTCAAGCTCTAGAAACTCTTGAACGCGAATCCATGTTGATTCTATTATGTCGAATTGAGGATTATGTAGAATCATAAGAGGGTGCGACTCGTTGATAGAAATCGAATGTGTTTGGCAAAGACTCTTCGACGACGGGTTCCACGCAAATGCCACGCCGTCCTCTCTAGAGGGCACGTTCGGAGGAGAATTGACTCTCGATATACTCTCTGGCCCATCCGAGATTTCAGCTGGAACTAATGGTGCGACTTGGACATCGTTCGTGGTCAATTGTGGTGCACTACTGCCAGGTATCGCTGGATATTGACCCAGCCAGTTCCAGTGAGCAGATAGTGACATCGAATCGTCTTGGAGTATGAAAGGATCACTTATGTGTGATGTCTCTCGGACGGCGTCGTAAAAATCTGGTGTAAACCATTGGCTTGAGTCAACCCACAGACTATCCTGCCAATGTTGGACGAAATATGAGAAGTCCACATTCGCTCCAAGCACACTGGTTGTTGCCGTTGTATCTTGTGGCCTGGAGAACGCGACGCATGATGGTGAAAGAACTGAAGACGCAGCATGACTCGTCCTAGGCGTCTTGTTCATGGCGTGGCCAGCATTAAGGTGCTGCAGTCGTGAGTTGCCAACAAGCGGCAGGTGTGCAATTCCCGTTTCTCTGTCTCTATTTCGCGACAGGGACGAAAGTGGGTTGGGGTCCTCTATGATGAAGGAGTAATCCACCTTCTTCGCTGATGACAATTCATGCTCTTCCCGTAATGAATCCTCTTTTTCAAGCTTCTGATGAAGTCGTTGGTGTTTCTTGAGCAGATCGCTGCGTGAAAACCTCTTTTGGCAAATCATACAACGGTGAGGGAGATTATTCTGGTCTATGTAGCACAACAGTCAGGACTCAAGCGTCACCAGCTCCTTCGTGCTCGTTTTTGAATGACCTACGCGTCTTTTGATGACGTTTCAAATTCTCTATGCGAGTGAAAGATCGGGAGCAGACCCCACAAGTGTGGCTAGTCTGTTCAACCTCGTTTGGTGAGCCCATCGACTCTATTGGGTGATCTGGGGAAGCTCATGCGCCCCAGATCTCTGTGGAGTTGCCGAGATGTGTGAGCGATTTCGTGGGTGGACGGAGACGTGAAGAAAAATGGCGTTGAGGTGGACGTAGCGCCCCTTTTATGACCTTTGTCCACCTTTCCCCCACACATCCGGGTGGACGCCGATCCGAAACAAGCCTAGTGTTAGACACGTCCGGATTTCCCGAAATGGGTCTGACTTGGATGCCCATCCAGGCTTATTACTATGTAGACATGCCATTCAAAACCTGGCTGATTGCGCGCCAGTTGTCTGCAAGGCGAAATCTCCTGCACGTTCAACGATCCTGATTCACTGCATCTTACGTCTCTTGAGTTTCTCATGGATTCCTCAAATGTCACCCTGTTGCAGCCAACGCGGCTAGTTTCAACCTCGAATGGTGCTCTACGCGACCATGAGTCAGGGATCGTCACTCTTGCAAATGGCGGACTACCTGAAGGATCTTCGAAACAGGCATCAATAACTTTTGACTATGGCCACTGCATTGGCGGAATTCCTTCATTTTTGGTTGACCGTGCGAGTGGCGATGGTCCCATCAATGTGAGAATACTTTACAGCGAAACTATGGAGGGAATTGAGCGCGGAACAGGTAGAGATGCTCTCCTTCAACCATTGTTGTGTTTAACTAACACAATCTCAAAGGCGATGGCCCCTACTTTTTCTTCTCCAATGCTATGGACTGTTATCGCAATGTTTCAATGACTATAGCACCCTCAGAATCGCAGCAAACCATCAAACCAAGACTCGCGCAACGATCTCAGAGGTATCTGAAAATTGTTCTCATCACTTCCAATGCCACTCTTGTAATCAGCAAACTCGGTTTCGAGTCAATCAGGCCAACATTACGGCCCAAGGCTTCTTTCAGTTGTTCAGACGAGATTCTCAACCGCATTTGGAATGACGGTGTCAACACGCTAGATATGTGCACTGTGGTCAAAGGCGAGACAGCCCCAGCGTGGGACATCACCGACCAAGGGACCCGGGTTCTTGGTCAGCATTGGGCCCCTTGCCGCCAAGGCACGCGATGGGGCGACAAGGAAGTTTCATTCGAGGTTCTCGTTGAAGAGCTAGGTGCGAGTTGGGGCATCCACATGGTTGCTAATGGAGTCATCTTCTGCCTGGACGTTATCCAAGAAGAGCTCCGTGCCTTCGAGGGGATGTCACATGTATCGGCCGTTTTTCCAGTCAAGTCCTTTGGCAGTTGGTCCACTCACGGAATTGTAAAGCAAGGCGAATGGATCAAAATTTCTACCATTACGAGCGGCAACCGGATCACTGTCATCATCAACGAGAAAGAAGTTGCAACAATCACAGACGTACAGATCCGACCTCTTCTTGGAGGTTCGGGAATCAACACTGGTTCTGTGGCTTTTGGAGGACCTGAGGGCTGGCTCGCTCTCTATCGCAACTTGGATGTCAGGGATGCTAACGGAGATTGTCTCTACCAAAATGACTTGTTATACGGTAACAAGGAGAGGACACTGGCAGACTTCCAAGTTGGGACGAATGCTGTATCATGCATGATAGACGGCGCGAAGAGAGATCGAGCAACATTCGGAGGAGATCTCTTCGTTTCAGGTCGAGCCGTTGCCTATTCTGGTATGGATAACGGAGCTGTTGCAGGAAGCATCGAGCTTCTTGCTAGCCATCAGACCGGGGAAGGATACCTTGGAAACCTTTGTCCAATCCAGGCTCCTATCCACGAAGGGACCGAGCCTCCTCCGACTTACGCATTCTACTCTATGACTTACGCCTTGTTGTTGGTAGTCGCCATCAAGGACTATTGGTTGAATTCTGGAGATTATGAAGCTCTCCGTCGTTATCTTCCGGTGGCGGAAAAGTTGCTCAAGTACGCCGAATCCCAGGAGAGTTCATCGGGACTGATCGAGGTCTCACCTGATATGTCAAGTAAGATGAAATCCCGTTTCTCAGCTGCATGGTACACTAGCTAATACTACATAGTGCATTGGTATCCGCTTGGAGGGCCTGTTTTTGGAGCCTCCGGTACAATGAATCTGGCATATTACGACGCACTGAACTCTGTGAAGGCCATGACCACCGACGAACACCGAAGATCCCAATTGTCTGGAAAGATCGAGACTCTGAAAAAGAGCATTGTAGCCAATTTATGGAACTCTGAAAAGTGCTGCATCCGTATGGGATCCGCTTTGCCGGAGGAAGGAATCTGTCAGGACACGAACGGCTATGCCATTACACTTGATGTTGCTGCAGACAGCAATCTTTGTGCATCTCACCTCTCCGGACCTCCAGGCTGGATGCCTGCGGCTTTTAAGGGGCTTCAACATTGGGACCGTACTGGAGTTGTGAGTCCCTACGCGACAGGGTTTGCCGTGGAGGCGCTATTTTCACGTCAAAAGGGCCGTGAAGCAATTCAACTGATTGAAAATGTGTGGGGTCCAATGGCGGACAAGTCAAGTCCGAACTACTCGGGAGGGCACTGGGAAGCGATGACAGCCGAGGGGAAGCCCTTTGGGCACGACACCTCACTGATGCATGCTTGGTCCTGTTGGCCAGTGTTTCTTCTGCCGCAGTATGTGGTTGGCGTGAAGCCGCTGCACCCGGGTTGGACTAAAGTACAGCTTGCGCCAGTGTTGTCCGGTATCAAGTCTGCTCGCTATCATACCAAACTCTCGCAAGGCATGCTTGAGGTTGAGGTCAGCGTCGATGAGACTGCTGGAATGATAGTTATCCAGGCATCTCTTCCTGTTGGCACAACGGCAGAGATTGTAGCCCCTGAAGGGTACTCGAACGAGAGTGCCGGGGGCCTTGAAGGCCCCGTCGACAGAGCAAATGTCACCCTTCGTCGCGTATGAGGTCTTTTAGAGATGAATTGGAACGAAATCAGACTAGAAGTATATATGAGGTGATAACGGATCTCGCTGTGTCTTTCATTTATACATCCGCAGACCACAGCGAGACAAAGGAATGCTGACTGAATATCTAAGTTTGATTTGTCTCTGTAAGCTGAAGAAAAGCCTCAATGAATACCTGTCCAACGCCGAATATCCCCTTTCCCTTGTCTTTACTTTCCATGAGAAGCACATACAATAAATACCATATCCTTCAATTCCTACATTTGGCGATGGAGTCCGTCCGCTCACGGGATTTGGCAGGCGTGATCCACTGCGCCTCAGAGACGGCAAGAACCTTTTGCCTTACATCTGCTTTGGCTGAGTATTCCGCGTCCAACACAACAGGACCATACAACGAGCCACTTTCTTGGACAATCTGACACCAGACCCATCGAAATCCCATACCCATACTCAAACATCTTCGTTTTCGAGGACCATTCTGCCACGCTATGAAGTAGATTGTCTAGCTTTCCTCAGTGGACTTAGTCTCATATTGCTTCAATATACCTGTCATAGCCTCACTGTTATAGAACCAAGACTCCAACTCCATTTGGTGTCCCATTCGCATCAATGAACGATTCTCGTCGACTCCAATGCTTATTCCCTCAAAGGTTGTTGCGTCACACTGTCTATTGTCCACAGCCGCATTGCATCTGAGAATATTTGGCCCGCTTTCTTGCAATTGCTGGTTACCGCCTTCATCCCAGATTGGTGGAAGCGCCGGAGTGGCAAGCACCCAGTCGACTTCAGGGTCGCTCTGTGACTGGTTGTCATAAGATTGGACAGATCGATATTCAATGTAGCGCAATGCAATACCATGGAGAGCATTGAATAGGCGATGTACTCGAGTCGCAGCACTTGAAATACAAGCAGCATCTTTAATAGACGCAACGAATTCATCAAGGCGACCAAGGTCTGCTTGGTCGACGGTTTCAATAACGTGACAAAAAATCACGACAAATGGCACAAACGGCGCAAACAAAAGAGTCCTACGCTGATCAGCATTCACGCTTGTAATCGCGAAATGAGCAGTCCTTACCATTGGAAGTAGGCTGGGAAGTATGCATCCCCACTCCTTTTCATGACAGCTATGCAATCCTTATGCTTTTCAATGGTCGCTCGCGCAGCGTTGACGCAATCAGGACTGAATGTCATAGGAGATCCAAGATCTTGGGGCGCAGCTCGATGGACTAATGTGAGTAGTGAAAGACGTAACGTCTCATCCGATGTTGCGTAAAAGTCCATCAAGTCTTGCCCCGCGCTATCGGCCGCGGTTTTTATCCATTTTTTCTGCAGTCTGAATTAGTTCTCTGTCTTTGAATCGTATCTTCATTACTTGCGTTTGTTTCTGAGGTCGCTTTGTCCAGGTTTTCTAGGTCAGAGATGAGACTCTGGACTCGTGATCTACGTTCTTCGTCCCGCTGCCTGACTGAATCTGGACTATAGAGTAATTCGTAAATCTTTCCCTGACATCGGGCAGCTTCCACCCATAACACGAAGTAGGCTAATGCGGGCTCTGGATGGGAATCCATAATCGACGGCCTAGTGACGGTTATTGTCCACTCCGGAATAGTTGATGCCCGACCTAAGCGGAGCGATAGGCTTTTGTCAATGAAGTAGTTGCTCCAGAAGAGAAATTTCCTCAAACGGTCATCTTCGTTTCTTCCATTATTGAGGGAAGATTCTCGGTGATATCCCAATGTTTGGCATATTTCTGATGCTTTTGAGGACAAGGTCCAGGCCAAAAAAGGCTTCGAGAGCTCGATAGCATGAAAAGCCTGCAGGGAGGTGAGCGTCCAGTTCATGTCTATATGTAGTCTGCGCTCACACCAAAAAGCAGAGCGATGATTGCCTTCGGAACAGCAGGCATGTGCAACGGCAAATTGGAAAGCGCTGTCTCGAGATTAGCACAGCATAAGAGCGAATGTCTTTCGCAACGTTCCCTTTCGTCCCCAATGACTATTGTGCTGTAGTCTTTGAACATCGAATGAAGACCAGCGTTGACAATAATGAAATCCATTTCAGAATAGTTTTCGGTGAAATAGACGTCGAGACAAATCGTTGCGAACTGGTTCATCGGTAGATATTCGTAAATCCAACCTGTTCCGGCGAGGCGTTGGGCTGACAAAGATGTTTATAAGCAGTCGTTTCAGTCAGTCTTAGAGCGAACTAGCGCAAGATCACTTACATTTGGCAACATGAATTACCGCAACACTTTCTTGTATCGGAGGCAACTCCCACGTATGGAGTCCTGGGCGTTCAGTAGGTCGAGCGTTGGGGTAGGTCGTTTCTTCTGAGACAGGTTGTTGCTTGTAAGCAGCCACTATCTGAGAAAGGTTCTCAAGGCTCTCCCCCATTTCCAAGCCAGAAGTTTGAAGGGGTTCAGTCTTCGCGACCTTCCGTATAAAGTCATCCGCAAATGAAAATTGGGCAGCAAGCGAAGACTCTCCTTCCACGACCGTTATAGAACTAGAGTTGAGCTCTGTTGAACGGAACATGCTAGTAGGTTTTGGCGTGGTATATGGCGCACCGGAGCCAGTGTTCAGTGTGTCGTGGAGGCCTTTGAGCAGACCAATAGCTTCGTTAAGACGAGAGTCAATCTGGTCAATCTTCTGCTCACTGGTACACAGACTGAATGTCAGAATGGGTCGTACATATTTGCGTCTTTGAAGCATTCAAAGACCTTGGGAAATTAAGCTTACTATTGTGAAGTCAATAAAATTCGTTTATGTTTGATCCGCGGTCTGATGGTATCAGTTTGTGTGCATTCGACGTTGTTACTCACGCAATGTGAGCATGGGCGTTCTCTATTGCAGCGAATCTAAAGCCATATGTTCGTTAGTCATGGTTCATCGTGTTTTGAACAGACGCATCATGATGGAGGCATGGAGACTGCCAAAAAGCATAGGTCGGAATGTTTACCTCACCTTTCGGGCGCGGCAGATATCACACTTCTGAAATCTTAGCTAATGCGACGAACATCGGCGCTTATTTCGGATCTCAGGTTGAAACTAACAGCTCTTTGAAAGGTGGCCTGCAAGGATGATGAAGAGGCGGCCTCGGCCTCGTCCTCATATCCATCCTCAGTATCCATGACTTTTTGTTGTAGGACGGTGTTCGAGGGACATTGAAGATGTCTCGGTTGGAGAAGGGTGTTTGCAACTACCAAGTGATAGAATCGCTGGTATCCTGTCGTCCATTAGACGATTATAACAATTGTAGCAGTTGCTTTTCATCATTTACTAGAAGGGGCATCGAAAACGCAGCGTGTAGTGAATGCAAATGGACCAAACGTCTCAGCCCAATGTAACTAATTTGTAATTTGTCGTCATAGCAGGCTTGAATCGTGGCTGAAACCCCCCACCCAACCGACCCTTACTTTTGGCATTGATCTTGTGGCGGCTCGATCTTTGAGCCAAAGTTGAGTCACTCGCCGTCATTTTCCCATTTCAGACCCACTTGGCTTCCATCGGTCTCCCGAGTCGGGGCTCCGCAGGTTCCGGCGCCCGAGCAGTCCTTACGGCGAGTGGTCTCACCGCAAATTGGAGATTTGTGGATCATCATTTTGATAGTTCGTCCCGTAAGGTGTCTGGTACTGCTTCAAAATTCTTCTGACTTCTCTTATAATCCACACTCCTTCCACGATGGAAACATCAACTGACTATTCGAACCATAAGATTCTTTCCAACTCCATTGTCTACTGAAGGAAAGCCAGCATGGGATTCAAGATAATCATTGTCGGCGGCAGCATATCCGGGCTGTCGCTTGCCAATATGCTCGAACGGTCTGATATCGAATATATTCTTTTAGAACGACGTAGCAGAATCGCCCCTCAACTTGGAGCTAGCATTGGTCTTCTTCCTAGCGGTCTGCGCATTTTGGACCAATGGGGCTGTTATGAGAAAATTAGGGAGGCCGCCGGAGATGTCTATTACCGCACCAGTATGCGCCTGTTTAGCGGAAAGACTTGGACTGATACGAAGCCTGTCTCGTTCTCACAACAACTTGAAGATAGGTACGCCAACTAGTTACTGAACTTAACCCGTAGATCTATCAAGACTAAGAACTAATGGCTCCTTTTTTGTCTAGACTTGGCTACCCACAGATATTCATTGACCGCAAAACCCTTCTACAGGTTCTGTTTGATAAGCTCATGTTCAAGGACCGAGTTTTGACCAACAAAATGGTTGTAAGTGTGGATATGTCGGGTGAACACGTCACTGTTCAGACACATGATGGTTCTGTCTACTCTGGGGACATCGTTGTCGGAGCTGATGGCGTCCACAGCACGATTAGAAGTGAAATGTGGCGTCTTTCTCAAAAGTCACATTCTGGTCTGTTCAATGTTCAAAGCAGATCCGATTGACGGTTTGTCCTCAGGACTCTTGAAGACACTATTTCAGTGTGTCTGACTTATACACAGGTTTGCAGTCGGAATCAAGATGCATCTTTGGAATATCGAAACAACCCGCGGGAATGCCCGGCAATGCAATTCAAGTCAACTCGTTCTTTAAGAGCTGTAACTACATGATGTTATCTGCCCCCGACAGCCTTCTGTACTGGTTTTTGTTCACATCGTTGGACAGGACATGTGGCAAATCCATTCCCAAGTTTACAAAGGAAGACGAGCGCGCTCTAGCGGAGAACCACTTTGATGACCAGGTTACGGAGACAACTACATTCCGTGAGATATACGCCAACAGACTGCACACGACTCTGGTGGCCCTGGAGGATCATGTATTTCCTAATGGCATTTTCGGAGAATCACTACGATCGGCGACGCCGCTCATAAAGTAAGCGAGAGTCAGAGTCCTTCTGGTGCAACAAGATCTAAACAACTCTATCATCATAGGTCCATCCCATCAGTGCTCAAGGCGGTAATGGCGCCATGGAGACTGCCGCTGTTCTTGTGAACACTCTCAGACGGAAGATGGCCAATCAATCGTCTAAAGGAAATCTCAATGAAGACGACATTGAGTCTGTTTTTGCGGAAGTTCAAGCCAAACGCTTCAGTCGTGTTGAGGATGCCGTCAATCAGGGACGCCGAACCACAGCAGCATCCATCAAAGAGACCTTTTTCTCTCGTCTATTTGTGGATTACTTCTTTCCGAGATTTGGCCAAAGCTTAATCTGGAGTCTGGTCATAGAAAAACACTGAGACCGGGCCAACCATTGACGACATTCCAACTCCAGCAAGATATGAGAAGGCCATCATCCGCCACCGCGAAACCACGAACAAACTAAGTTGGTCTTTCTGGAACCTTGTGGCACTCGTTACATGCATTCTTACTCTGCTTGCGTATACTGTCATCAGATGCATATGGTCGACTCAGCCAATGAACATTGACAGCATGGACCTAAGGGCCTGAATGATAGTTGGGAAATGAGGGAATTTCTTATTCGGATAGAAACTCTTGTAATTAAAGATGCTACAGTAGAGTTCTTTTGGCCCAGCTTCTTTTCCGAAACCGTTCCAGATGTTGACTACAGACTGTGTGCTCAACACGTGGCACCCGTACATAGCGAGCACTTTATGAAGCTATCCTTGCATGGTGGATAGCGACGGCCTCGGGTGCAAAGTTGTCTGTTCTTCATCCCTTACATGCACTGGTTCCTTCCATGAGATAGATACATATTATCAAGTCCATGCAATTTAGAGAATATTGGTGAATCGATATCTTTCCCGTAGTCATGGGCTGAATCGAAATCCAGACAATTTAAATCTTGGCGTTTTAGTGGCTACATGACGACAAGTATGATCATGAGCTTGCTCTCGTCATTATGTTGAGCACAAATCTCAGCACCGTGCTTCAAAAATGCTCGGCAGCGGTACAAGCCATTGAAGATAAGTAACACCGCACTGCAATCAAGAGGATTATCAAGGTGCCTGTTGACACGAGCTTAAGACAGTCGGGGAGATAGGAAAATGTGGGAATGCAGCAAGACTGAATCGTCTTCGAGGAAAGCGAAAGGCTTCCAGAGCTAGGACGCATTAGCTGAGAATTTGGGTAAGATCCAGAATCTAGGTGATGTTGACGTAGAATCAAGATAGATTAATCCCACATCACGGACTTAATCTTTAGTAATGAACCCCCCTTCCCAGTTTCCCACCTCCGGCATCTTTTCGCTTGTTATTCTCGTAGGGTAAGACTCAGACATCAACTATCATCGATTCAACTAAACTATTTGTACGTCGGGCGGTAAATGAAAGAGGGAAAGCCTGTCAGCATGTACAGGGTTTCACGGCTACATCCATGGCTCTGGGTCATGTATCAGCTCATCACTGCTAGGCTGCATGCTCTAAGCGTCGGCCCCCAGACCAAAAGCACTGCAGATATAAATCGCCTCCGCCTCATCACAAACCCATTACTCAAGATGTCCTCGCCAGCCCCTTCCTAGATCGAACCTTGTGTTCGCCACTGGGACTTATAGAGTTTCTTCCGCACAAATGAATGGATATGGCTACGATGCGAATGTCAAGAAACAGAAACATAAGCAGCAGGCTCATAACGCCAACGTTGAAAGGCGCAAAGATGGTGATACAATCTTTGCTTTTAGAGTCCGAAAGGTCAACAAAAATTTGGGAAAGGCAAACTTCTCAGTCACTGGGAAGCCCACCGAGCCTGTACAAGCGGGCACACCCGGCCCTCGGGGAGGCATCATGATCGTGGTCTTGCCCAGTAGATGGAAATTACTCCAAATGTTGAGCACACTGGGTAAAAGTCTGTGTCCTTGCATTTAAGCAATCAGGTATGTAAGAAGCTACCTTGCTAAGACCGAGATCTTAGCAAACTGTTGTGAACAAAGATTGAAAGGTATCTCATCGAAAGGTCTCGAAAGCATCGTGACCACTATTTCTGAGGATACTAATCTCCCTGAAATTATGTACCATTTGTTCGCAATGCTACAGATCATATAATTAGACTGCATCTCTAGCTGCGTAATCCCTTCATCCATTGCAACAGCTCTTGATGTCCTTCCTCACTCGAGATGATAAAGTGGTTCGAGCTTAGCGTTTCTCTGGAAAAGAACGTATCTTCTCACAAACCATGGTAGCCATGTACGGACCTGATAGGCAGCATGGCGATGTGTGGGAACTCCAAAGATGTAGTCTAGCTCTTCGAGTGTTCGTTGTCTGGTACTACGAGTTAGCAGTTGCATTTGCCTTTCTGAGCGGCGTGGAGAGTGACTTACTTGGTCTCAGGAATGAGGAAGAAGATGACGATGAAAGCGAGCAGGTTAAGACCGGCATAGAAGCAAAATGCCCCAGTTGGCCCAATTTTGTGCAAAAGTTCGGGGAAGGTTAACGTGAGAGCACTGCCAACCGCGTTGTTGACGCAGATCGTAAATGCTGAGCCGATCTCCCGATGGGACAGAGGAAAAGCTTCTGAAAAGTAAATGGATGGAAGAGGGCCCATGCCTGTTCTTGTCTTAGCTATTACTGTTTTTTTCTTTGCCTTTTTTCTTGCTTTTGTCTTTTGGGGGGAGGGGGGAGGGGGGGGAGCTTGGAAGGGAGATCTGCTATTTTGACTGACCTGGCCCGTACATCGCTGTGAATAGATAAATAAAGAACGCAATGAGTGGTACTCTCGCACTCGAACCTTGATTGATAAGAAAGCAAAGGCCCGAGGCCAACAGACACCAAGCCATGTTTGGAAAGGTGATTAGGAGGAGATTCCTTCGACCGAAAGTATCCATCATGTACACCGCCGGGAAGGCAAAGACGAACATGACGAGGCCGAAACCCATGGAGGCGAGAAGACATTGTTGAGCGGAATAGCCAGCTTGCTCAAAGATTGTCGAAGAGTAAAAGGCCATGATGTTAATTCCGCTGAACTGTTGCGAAATTACTATCCAAGATGAGGCGATGGTTGCACGGCGGAGTCGTGGAATAATGAGCAGGTCGGTCATTCGTCGTAAAAGCGTCTGGCCACCGAACGCGTCCTTCTCTTCAATGACTTGTCTATGGGCGTAATACAAGTCTCTGGCGGCCATCATTTCGGTATTTCGAAGGCGACAGAAGGATTTGAAGGACTCTTGGTAGCGGCCTTTCTTCATCAACCAACGAGGAGATTCTGCATCTCTAGTCAGACATCTCGGGAAAAAGGGAAAAAGAAAATTAGAAATCACGATACGTACCAGGGCAAAACCAAACAAAGATAAGAACAGGAATAGCAGGTGCAAACGCGGCACCCAACTGGAATCTCCATGCTAAATCACCGATGCGAAACCATATCAAGTTGGAGCAGAAGCCGACGAAGATACCAAACGCGACCCACAGCTGGAAGCTCGTGACGATTCCACCGCGAATGGCAGCAGGCGCAACCTCGGCCGAGTATACCGGAATTGTTGAAATCTTGACTCCCATTCCTAGACCCATGAACAGACGGCAAATCAAGAGACCCCACCAATTCTGCGTGAAAGCCTGGGCAAGAACGGGAAATACACAAAATAGACCGGTCAGGAAGATCGTTCCGCGACGGCCTAAATAGTTGTTGATTGGATCGGCGGCCCATGCGCTCAAGAGACCGAACAAGGTCGGGCCGGCGTTAATGACACCAACCAGTGCCTGTCTGTCCACGATGCCGAACTCTTGAGGAAAAGAGAGATTGGCGCCGTTGGCACCTGTATTGTCCCATCCTTGAATGGCAGACCCGAGTGAGCAGAGGGCGATGCTCCAGTAGAGGTGCCGTGGAAGATGCCATTTGTGGGTGACCTCCCGGCGGAGCACATTTTTGTCGTCCTCAGTGAGTTCTTCGAACGAATCGTAGGTCTCCGGATTTTGAGCTGCGATTGCGCCACGATAAAAGACATCTTCTTTTTCGTGAAAGCCATACTCGGCACAGAATCCAGACACTTGGAGGCGAAGATCTGTTTTGGAGACTCCGATGAGTGGATTGCGGATTCTACTGACCGTAGTCAATGGCTATTGACGTAAGATATATGAGTGAATGACTGCTTACTTTGCATCGACGTTGCGGCTGTAGTCCGCTTCTGTGTACTCAACGTGGTTGACGTCAAGTTTTGACTTGACGTCCCCCTCGATATTGGATACGCGAGACATCGTGGCTGACTCCTTTAAACTTTTCTTTTTGCCAAATAAAGAAAGGGCTGATCCAAGTAGAAGAATGAAGTAAGCCAATCCTGGGGATGATAACAAAGTATCACGATGGAGGCTTCTTTATAACTTGATTCAAATGAATCCATCCCATCCCAGTTGCTCTTTCCTATGTTCTCGCATCGTCCCCCATGGGGTCGGATGAAATATTACCGGGTCCTCATCGCCCAGCGCCAGAAGTTTTAGTCTCATCAGCTGTTGAACGGCAAGGAGGATCCTTCGGACCTGCTCCCGTGACCAACACACACTGCAGCAAACCTCCCTGTGCAGGACATCCCCTGGTGGTGTTTGTTCGGGATGGGGTACGTGCGGGGCTGCTCTGTGTGTGTCCATGAACTCTAGAGTTTGGGTAACATGCTAAGACGCGCTAGTTTCTCTTGCCTGTGCAGGGCGATGTGTATGAAAAGTTGTTAGTCTTGGAACCTTGATGCTAGGGTGTTGGGGAGGCGGCCGCGTAGCCCCGATGAATGGAGGCCTTTCGCCCGATTGGAAGATTGGAGGTTCCCGGGAATAATTGGTCTTAGAGTAGGTAGTAATGAGTGTGATAGAACTGAGTTTAGAGGTCATCTGGAATGCCCAAACTATTGCAACTTTACAGCTCATCAAAGTCTGACTAGACATGTTCAGGGCAATTTTACTGAAGGTGAAGACACACAATTGACGACGTCTGCACTAGTTTTAGAAAAGAGGTGGGGGCGCCTGCACCCGGGAAAATGGTCCCTAACACAGTTGTATTATGGTTGGTTTACCCCAGAATATCCTCTTTGCCTCCTCCCACCCCGATCACCGATCCGAACAGACGATGAACAGGGGTAAAGGCCCCCACGGTGCGGGGTCAACAGTGCCCTGCGTGTTGCCTTACGTTGACCTGCGTGTGGCATCCTGGGGGTCCAGGAGGATGTTCGCATCATTGGTCCTACGGTGTTCGGAATGGGACCACCGATAAGTCTAGTGACGACTGCGAAGATACTGCCACATGCAGGGCATTAGACAGTCATTCTAGAGATAGCAATATCGAAAGATTTGAGTTGAGTTATTTCTTATTAAACTACTAAAGGAGATTTTTCTTGGATTCAAAACAAGATGTAAAGATCAAATCGTTGAGAACTCCAAGAAAGAAAACGTTATCACCTCGAAATCTAGCAAAACTTACCTCTGATCCGCAATCATGGGAAGCCAGGGCGCAATTACATGGCTTGAGAAGCTTGAGGAGCAGAGTAAGTGAAGACTTGAGCCTACCTTATGTCGACCTCACAGAAGCCTGGAAACTCATCAACATAATATAGTAAACGTCGATGTCGATTGGATGGATCCTGAGTACATCAAGAGCATGCCCATCGTTCCCCACGACCAGACCAGCAACCAGCTCTGGGTTGATATCCAGCTCGGCCATGAATCGAACAGGGATCTTTTCCTCGATACTGCGAAGGAACTGAAGAATGAGGGATGGCTCGCCATCTACACTCGCATGGTCTGCTTTGAACCAATCTCTAGTGCCATATAGTGAGCTGACCCCAAATCGCCAGGCCGTTCTCATGTGCAAGAAGAATATCAACTCCATTCGCGGCCGAGTCCTCTTGCAAACTCTCCCGTCCAACGCGTACAAGACACAGGAGACCCTCGATCATGCCCGCCTCTACGATCGCGAATTTGCCAAGGCTGGTATCGGACGCGATAGATACTGCATCAAAATACCATCGACTGGGCCTGCTTTGAACGCTGCAAAGATCTTGTCATCGGAAGGGATACCCACTCTAGGAACAGCGCTGTTCAGCCTTCCTCAAGCTATTGCTTGCAGCCAGGCAGACATGCTGTACATCAGCCCGTATTACAATGGTCAGGTCAACACGCCTACTTTATTGAGCGTTCTTTACTGATGTTTGTCGCAGAGGTGCGGGCCCACGATGAGCCGGATGCCCTCTGGCCAAATGTCGAGGACCCAGCGACGCAACATCCTATGTCGGCACGTATTATCCAGATCATTGAGACATACAAGCGGCTGTACAAAGAGACCGGCAAAGAACAGCCTCTCGTCAAGAATGCCAGGTAAGCGCACGAGGAACTTTCATTGTTCCAAGCGCCGCTAAGCTATTTCTTCTAGCTTCATCTCGGCCAAAGAGGCCATGGCGGCGGGGGAAATGGGATGCCATTCTGCAACCATATCCCACACCGTTCTCGACCAGTTGGCCAGGCTTCCCTACGATGGGACCAAGCAGCCAGGCGAAGGCGTGCCAAAGCCCGTTCACGTCTACAAGGACGTCGGCCCGACCCCTGAGCGGCTGAAGAAGCTCGCCACCATCGACCCTCTGGCGGCGGCTGAGTGGGACGGAAAGCTGGCTCGCACTGACGTTGACTACCTTGCTGATGGTGGTGCTGCGCTACAGAGGGCTATCGAGACAGACCTCGTTACGATGACTCGGCTATCAGATGCGCTGAAGCTCTTCATCGGAGGCGAGAAGAGCAGTCAGGGAAAGATTGAGGAGGTTCTTAAGCAGATCTAAAACGAACGGTATCGTTGATGTGTGTCCAGGGTACGATTGAGCCATGAAGTGGCGTTCGATAGAGTACATAAGGATCCGGGGCATTCAATAAACTATCCATGCCAAGAGACCCATTGCTGAGAGTGCTGAAGCAGTGGTTCTTGATCCAAGCTGGTTCGAGAAAGATAGTCAGGCCTAAGCAGAACGGTCGGTAGCTCGATGGAGTTCTCGTTCGGGACATGAAACTGATGAATCGCGTCCACGTTGAGAAGCAGCGCCTGCCGTGTTGGGTTTACGTCGACGAACATTCGATAGTCGGCTTCTTCTGATGTCGCCACTGGCAGAGAAACTTGTGATATGGGAGGTGGCATGATCGGCATGTCGTCTGGGCCCGTAAGAGGAGGTTCTGGGGGGAACACTGGTAGATGAGTTTGGGTAGCCTGAGACCATGACGTGTCGCGCAACAAATCGTCAAGGTTTGGGACTGGGTTGATATCGTGTGTCTGATCCACTTCCACAAGCTGCGAGAGATGAGATGCTTCGCTTGGGAGGGTGCCGATTGCCATCGCAGCCTGAGCTTGACCGCCACGAAATTCCTTGTCTTCACTAGAACCATTTCCTTCGCGTATGCGATGGCTTTTTGCTTCGCGACTCTGCATTTCATCCTCGGTCTGTACAAGACCTGCGATATTAGGAATGGTTTTCGGCAGCTGGGGACTCGCGCCAGTGTTGCCTCTCCAGACATTGATTTCTGCCAGCAGCTCATTGCGCTCTCGTAGCAAGGACTCGATATCTCGAAGAGCGTCAACGCATCGGTTCTCCAGGAGCTTGTGCCGGGCAATGCTCTCATTAACGACGATATGCTTCGATAGCCGCTCAGGATCAGTGTCTGCAAGGACTGGTAGCTGGCCGGCGAGTTCCTGTGGATTGAGTGATCAGTCTGGGTACAGAGTTAACAGCTGCTTTTGTCTCGCCCGTCAATGCTCACAGTCAAGCGTTCCTTGAAGGCTTCGCGACGACCCCTTTCAAAGATACGATGGGCGGCGCGGTCATCGGCGGAAAAGTTCCTGACGCGTTTCTTCGTGGGCTTTTTGCCCGGTACACTCTGCGGCAGCGGTGCAGTCGCTGTTATGCCTTGGGAGACGGATGGTAGCGCGGTCGTATTCATGGAGCGATGTCACCATTTGAGACGGCTATTCGAGAGGTTTCGTGCCATGCGAGAAGCTCTCGACTAAGCGAATGTCCGGTCGAGGATGACAGTGAGCTGGATGGGTGAAGATCAGTCGTTGGATCAAGACAAACGTTGACGAGAGGGGTTTGCGAGGTGGGCGTCTATAGTAGGAGTAAGGCTACCTTTGTCCGACCAACGACCGAAGAAAGGGAGTTTCTCCCTGTGGCCCCCTCCATAGTTTGTTCAAGGATCATGTTGGCTGGGATCCCCGGCAATCATCTCGTAAGCTATGAACCCCGCATAAGCTAAGGATAAGAAGCCAGAACCACAAAAGAGGCTCAGAACTCAGAGGTACCATCCTACGGCCAGATGGGTTGTGCTCCGGAAAGGCATCCATTTCATGATTCGGGGGGTTTCTTGAAGTCTCGCACGGCCAATTTCGGTCAAGACAGTCATCAAACTTGTGCTTTGCAGCTGAGCAGATTCTCAGGTCGGGTGAAGCTTTCCATTTCATGGGAGTTCAGGATCGGGCCGCTCTCAGGACGGCCCCGCTTGGCGCAACGGCATGAAAACTGTGGATGACTGAGAGCAAGGTTCATTAGGTTCATCAACAGCAAGTTTGGAAGATCAATTGATCCATTTAACTCGGCTTTCCCGGCAGTGGTACCGCTTCTGGGTATGTCTCGCTCGGCTAGTATGTCACCGTCTTAACCTCGTCTTTCCTTTGCATAATGATGATAGCTTGAGCAAACAGTTAAGTCATCTAAACCTAGGGCTCTCCCCTTCATCTCATCAGACAAAAGTCAAATTCCTCTTGCGACGCTGATCGGAAGTATATATGATTGTTATTGGACATAAACACCACAATTCCAGACACGGAGCCCAAGAGAACCTTGTTAGAAAGGCCTAGAAAGTCGAGCCGTCAGAGGCATCCTCATCTTGGCTATATATGCAATGAAACTGCGGGGTGCAAACGCGAACGAAAGGGTTCTATCGAGACTAGGTGAACAATACGTCAGGAGGACAGAGTGAACGTGATTAGGAAGGTGACATGAAGGATCTCCCGCAAGCTTGAAGCTGGACGTTCGAGGTACAGCTTGGCTAGAGGCAGAAGGTTGTTCTACATTGAACTACACGTCTCATCATTGAAGCAATGTCGGCACTTGGCTGTGAGACTTTTGCCAAAATCATCCGATATTTCCGCCCTGAAGCCGATCTCACAATTGTCAAGTTCCAAGTCAGATGATGGGGAATGGATGGTGTGCAGTATTAGCATCGTGTTCTGGAATCCTCGACTCTACAAGCAACGGCGGCCCTGTTGATGTCTTCGCCGGAGCGTCAGTCATCTTTGGCATGGCTAATGTTGCCACTCAAGTCGCGAACTACTCCCTGGCCGGCTGATATCCGAGTCAGCTGACCTGACGCGGGCGTATTACTACTCCGTGACTTCGGAATTCGGCAGCTCGACCGGCAGCTACAGGAACTTCTGTATCATGTCCGTCGTGTGCAAGGTCCTTGCGGAATGCCTCATGCTCGAGGAGCCAAGGCCCCTGCGACGATTTGGTGAAGAATGCCACTGACACGAGTTTCTTGGCTACTGAAGCACGCCGCTCGTCAACCACGTACGACCTGAGGTGGCTTCTAGGCAGGCGACGTTCCCCTGGACTGTATACTTTCCCCAAAGACCCTTCGCCGACACTGACGCTGAACTGACCGGACAGTTGGGAACAACTCTTTACCGACGACGAGATGTCTGGCAGACTGAGCTGAGAAACGGGTGTACGTGAACGTTCCGTGGCGGAGCATTTTTGGTCCCAGCCAGTTCAAGTGCTCGGCTTACCAGTCAGACGCCTCACGATCACGATGGTCATGAGGAATCGCGTAGTTTATTAGAAGAAATGTAAAAGGGATAGACGTCAATCGCTTCGCACTAGATAGCTAGAATATGACGCCTGTGGCCGAGCGCTAGAATAGGTAGGCCAGAGAGCAGTCAACCGTCGCGGGCCGAGGCCATCGTGCGTTTCACGCCAAAGTCTCTGTTATTAATCCCTCATGGATTCTTGTTCGTTTCGTTTAATCAAGCTCGAAATAAGCGGGAGATACTAGTGCCAGAGTTTGAAAGTCAGAAGCTCGTTGCGGCGAGTGATAGTTTGTAAGAGAGGAGATGCTACGCCGTATGGCGCTTTCGAACGACACGAGCGAGTCTCTCCGGAGTCTCTGCTACACGTTCTTTCACCAAACAACGCCAAGGATGACGCGCTATCGCAATAAACAGACTATCCTCATCCGCATCCGATGGCCTCCAATGTATCTGGGACACATAGCGCACTCTGTTTCTCCTGATTGCGCTCACCTCACAGCGGGAACTGGCACAGATCATAGGTACTCTGGCCTCAAGATGGCTTGCTACCCGACTGTAGAGGCAGTAATGTGCGCGGCTGGGTCAGGACTTATGAGAAGATGGGCTATATCGTCATGGCAAAGACGACCTTGGTGTCAGTTCCACGACCAGAGAATGCGTGAGGCAAGCTGCAGGTCGGAGACCGCGTCGGGTAGCTTTGCCCTCGGCATGGCAGCGCGAGTCCTTGGCGCAGCAGTATCCATCATCGACGCGCTCTTCAATCGGACTTTGTTGTACTGCGCCGACTTCAACCCGGCTTTAATATCGGACGGATGCTCGGATCTCGTGGCCCGGCGACTCTTGAACGGAACTTCGATGGGTACTATCTGCCGGGAATTGAGCCTGGCTTGCAGACGCCTTTACTTTTCCTTCATGTTGGGAAGCCTGCCGAGCTGGTTGTGTAGGTCAGGAGGATTGTGCAAGAGCATTTCAATAGCAGCCGTAATGCAACACCGGGTAGCGATAATGATCCGGTCAAAGCGAGACTGTTGACGTGCTTTCTGCTAGAGCTTTATCCTGTTATTGCGTCGGGAAATATGCCGGTGTTGCTGCCCCTTATGCCGGGGTACATCACGGAGAGTAAAGTGGTGCGTACGGCTAAGGTTACGGTAACTGGCTTTGACCCGGACTGTCTGGCGCGTAACGTTCCAGTGAGAGCAAGGGAGCATCTTGAACGTGAGAAGCTTCCGTGTTGACTTTGACAGTTTTATGGTGCCAAGAAGGTGAAATTTATGATGACCGACCAAGAGAGGGAGGGCTGTGGTGGACAAATTCCTAGCAGTGTGGGTGTGGGAGGGTTTGCTGTGTAATCTTGATCTTGGTGGAAGTGAGAGAGCGTTTGCGCCTGGCGTCAAACTAAAGTCTTCCGACATGTTGCAAAGAATGAGTTGGCCATGGAGGCTAAGGTCTACAGGTTTCTGGGGCTGCTTGGATGTTTTCGACACATGTGTCGGTCTTGTTGCAAAAGACTGTTGACTACTCGATGCCCTGCGCTTAGTAGGACAACCAGTAGATACTCAATACAAACACAATAAGCTTATGAGCATAGTGACATAAAGCCCCGTGGTGGTAATGCTGATTTCTTTGGGGTATTCTTGACTTGAAGTATCACTCCCTTATCGACAGGGTCAGTATCCAAGGCTTCCAGCCCTACCCTCTGTTCGGAGGAACTGGGGGGCTTTCCTCTATCTGGGTACTTGTCTCGGGGCCGACGATTGTAACATATTCCTGTGGGTCCTTCTCGCCGACCGAAGTCTCTTGTTGAACCGCGGTCTCGGATTTTGGCCGCCAGTACACACACGTGCTTGAGAATGTAGTGTATGTACCATCCTGTGGGAAGAGGAAGTGCTTGTGCGAGGCATGCATATCACTCATGCACTTGAACTCACCATCCTTCATCGAGGCAAATCTAGCAAAATGTCAATAAACATCGGGTGGCCATGAAGGAGTACCTTTACGCACTCATCCCAAACGTCCCATCCTGTCCCGACAAACATGGCAGGCACGGCCTTCTCGAGCGTCGCCTCATATATTGGCCGATACATGTGTATCGCGAACACAAGCGTTTCTTCATCCACGGCCTCGAAAGCAGCGGGGGACTCGATAACCTCATGACCAAGGCCGGTAAGGAATGCTATGTCACTGGAAGTGAACCGAGGTTCCTGGAACGAGCACGGTATCGACTCATTGTACAGTTCGGCTGGGAATTCGGTTAGCTGAGACCTTGCAGTGCAGTTTGGCATAAATTATTGCGACAGCTAAGCATAGGCATACATAAAACTTCGACCACGGACAAGAAGGCGTCGAGCTGGATATAACTCCTCCTTTTTGCGTCCCAGCCTCCATCCTCTGGATCGAACGTGCCCACGCCGAGACACATTGCCTTGCGGACTCTCTGATGGCCTTCGCAATTGTCCCTCACCAGCTTCTTTAGACCGAGGCAGCATCTTGTTTCGCGCCACTTGGACTTGAAGGAGTGGTACTCGGCCGTTATTTCGATGATAGACTTGTGGCTGCGGGGTTCAGCAGGTTTGGAGATTGCGGCAGGACCCTTAACAGGTGTCTTGGGGGCGCTTCGCCGGAGTCGGGACTTGGACTTGACGTGGATCCATTCGTCATGCTTGGGTTTCTCAGACTCGGGTTGTTCAGCTGTGGCCATGATGGGCGCGTCCAACAGCGCGGGGTTAATGATTTTGCCTTTGAAGCAAGATGCTGCGTTGGTGGAATGGACTTTTTTGTGCGGCAGAAAATGGCCACCGCCTGCTGATAGGGCGGGTCCACGGATGTCAATTGGCAGGCGGTGAAGACCATGCAACTTCCCTGCTGTATTACGTAAGGTACCCAAGGAAGGCAAGAGCCTACTACACAGGTGCACATTTCATACTGCGCTGCGGATACCTGAGGTGAGCACATACGCTAAGGTACCACGCGGTGGCAAGGTTACAGGGCTGGCTGGGTGTTGGTGTTCTCTGCAATACAGAGGCGACCTGTATATTTACCACCGCGTGGGTACCTAGAGGTGCACTCGGTGGAAGGGACGGGAGGAATAGAAGGCGGAGAGGGTTGCACACCTCCAGCTAAAATCTGACAGTAGCGTTGCTCCTTCCTGGCAGAATTGCAGGAAGGACCAAGGTGGAAGGGAAGACCAAGAATAGAAGCAACGATGTGAGGTATCTATAAACGCTTATCTTAAGTTCCCTCTAGGTTTTGGGTGGAACGAATTGACCTAGACACCTACCTACTACCCAAGGACTCAAGATTTACACTCTAAAACAAATCAATTCAATTTCCTCTATCCGTCGGTGTCCGAGGCCACTCTCACCTCCTGACCTCAGGTACCTTGTCTTAAGGTACTGGCACTTACATGTGCTCCGTATCTAAGGCACCTTAGGTAGCTGCAGCAAGCTCCAAACCCCAAACCCCTCCCCAACATGTCGCTGGTCTCTGAGGTGAGACCCCGCCTCTTACCCAACCCGGTACTCTTTCGGTCCCCCCGCAAACCAGTTCAATCTTTTCTTTGAGGCTGACTTTCTTGATCTGCATCACCTCACGAGGCGGCTGGACATCTCGGAATAGACAAAACCCACGCCGTCAGCTTACCGCTCTTCGGCTTTCATCGACGGAGGTCAGACGGTCGGTCACCTACGACGGGTACAGGGCACTTTGTGTGTCTGAACTTCTACCCTGTCACCAACCACGTGGCATAGAGCACAAGAGCGAGCGAGGAAGAGCAAGCGCTCGCTAGGGTTGACAGAGCCGACGCGTCCGTATCATCACGGTCATTTCAACTCGGATGTTACACGACGGGATCGAATCATCACCGAGTGGTATTGCACAAACTGAACGTCAACAATCATCAATGCCCTAGCCAGTCCTGTCGAATGCCAGTCGACCAGATACCTTACCTTTGGATTGCCGTCTTGTTGGTTCGTGCATCAACGAAATATGAGCGTGGAGAGGTAGGTATACCTAGCAAACAGCCACCGGCCGACGACGGGGATTTGCTGTGGCAGCGGTGCCAGGTTGCATCCAGCAGCCAACGTACATATAGTAGTGTAAAGCCGGCGCTTACACCTTGCAGCATCCCTGTTCATCGCCTCCCCCTCTCACCACTCATCGTCGAGATCCCCTCTGCCACCGGGGTGATACGGCACCTCATTGGCCTCGTGCCCCCCAAATAACCACCTCCTGGTGAACAATCCCCTGCCACTCCCGCAGCGACTCTCACTTGCCTGGGCGCTTCTGTCAGCCATTGGCTGCGTCGCTAGCCCGGCAAGGGGAACGGGAGCCATTGCCCATCGTCTTGCAGATGAAGGCGTGAAGGATTCGCATACACTACTGGCTACTGCAGTCTGTCTGCCAGTCCACCCGTCCCTTTCCCGGTGTGATTGAGTGCCCCCATTCGCATTCATACCTCCACGCGCACGCCAGGTCAGCCAGGCTCGATTGGACGGCTGCAAGGTGCGAATCCAATGGCACGGCACAAATGGACATCCATACATGGCCCGGCGGCTGGATCGGTCGGCCGGGTCATCTTCCTGACCTTAAGGCAGGAAGGTTACCTTGCCATGCGGGCTCCCATCCCCGCCCAAATATCATTCAGCCTGTCGTCTTCCACTTGCGCCCTCCCTTCTTTTCTCTCCTACTCGACTGACCCAGTGCCGCAAGGGAAATATTCTTTGAAACCGCAGAAACCTTGTTCTTGAACAAAGCTGTGAACTCTCCTGTGCTTTGCCTCAGTTTCGAGAATCTTTTGTTGTCTTAAGCGAGGTTTGCCCCAAAGACTCACACGAACCATCCGACCAGCCAACCACCTCAAACATCTCCAGGCGGGCTCAAAAGCCATTCAGTCAGTCAGACAACCGGACGGAAAGTTTGTGGAACAAGAAAGTGGAAATTTGCAGAAGACGGTTTCCAAGTGAAGAAAAGGAAGAGTTCGTCGTTGTAATACTACAATCGCCAGCTTTCGACGGCCCCCTTACACACACGAACCGCCGAGATGCTCTTCGCAACACTTTCAGCACTCGTCCTCGCGGCGACAGCATCAGCTCACATCGTCATCTCCTACCCGGGCTGGCGCGGTAATAACCTTATTACCAATGACACATTCCCCTACGGCATGCAATGGAACTACCCATGTAAGTCCTTACTCGTGAGCTGTTGATTACTTCCCTTCGCTATCGCCATGGCTCTCTCCCGGGCCATACTTCAAACCTCATTCACTATATAAGTCAGAGACTCGGGCCTCACTAATCGATCCCGAAAGGCGGCGGCATGCACGTTACCCAAAACCGGACCTACTGGCCCACGACGGGTGGTGCCCTTGCCTTCCAACCAGGCTGGTTCCAGGGCCACGCCCAGGCAATGATGTATGCCAACATGGGCTTCGGCAGCGACGGGCCCGACGGCGGTCCCCTCAACATGTCCTTCCCCATGGTCCCCGTCTTCCAAATCCTCGGCCCAAGCAAGAACCCTTACCCGGGCACCGTCTGCCTTCCGCAAGTGCCTCTCCCGGCAAACACCACCGTCAAGGCCGGCGATCACGCCACGATCCAAATTGTTGAGCTTGCTGTGCACGGCGCTGCTCTATTCTCAGTAAGTCTTCCCCAGTCCCCTACCTCAGCTAGACGGAGAGGGAGAGAGAGAAGGAGAGGGAGAGGCAGAAAGGTGCTGATACGGTGTACCGCAATGATAGTGCGTCGATATTGAATTCGCTGAGCCAGGCGACCCGAAAATCGGAAAGGTTAACGAGACAAACTGCTTCAACTCCACCGACATTGGCTTTGGTGACGTCTATACCATCACGACGAAAGAGTCTGGCGCGGGGTATGTGCAAGGAACATCCGCTGGCGCAAGAATAACAACGAGCTTCTCCGTCGTTGGTGGGCTCCCGCTTCTGCTCGGTGCGCTCTGGATCTTGCTGTGACTCTGCAGCATGGCCCAAATTCATGAATGAGTTGTTTTGAGAGTCGAATGGACGCAATGGATGGGTTATACCTTGGGAAATATTGTACATTCTTGGGAGGCATTAAAGACGGCGTTTTTTTTTTTTTCTTTCTCTTTCTTTTTGAAATCGGGAAATGGCTTCAAATGGCTGCGGCCCGAAGGTGGTGTTTTTTTTTTCCCTTCCTCTTTTACTCGAAGAAAATACTCATTGTTTTCTGAAGTACCCCGATCAACAATGCTCGCTCACTGCGGGTACAATTACAAACATATTCAGAAGGATTCCACAGACTGGTACTATTTGATGTGATATAGGAATGTGGGAATGTTGACCAGGACGTGCTTCGTTGGATGCCCTTTGCAGTCTTGTCCGACAATATTGGGTAAACGACAACGCTAGGACAAATTGAAGTCATAACATCGAACGCTGAACTATCCCAGAAACCAATTCAGTCACACTAGAGAACGCCATGGAATGTAATTTACCGGGGCTTCCATTGCTCTATGGAAAGCGGGCTAAGACGGCGAGCTACTTGACTCTCTGTATGATACCCCCAAAGCCCCCGTCGTTTTGCCCCTTCCTCCCGTTTCGCCAGAGCGTCAGCAGGCGCGCACACTTCTTTGACCATCACACGGCCGTCACTCAAGTCATGTTTCCGGAGACTGCATAGCGCAAGCTTCATTATCTCACATCCATCCCATCACACTCTGCACCGTTCACAGCTGTTGGAGAGCTTCTTGTCCCACATGCTTCACCCGTGGCTCCGACACGCGGTCGATAGCCCCCTTGATCCAACCCTCGCCACCCAGACTCTTCACGTCGGCCTTGTTGGTAGCAGAAAACGTTCCCAAAGCGACAAGCGCTCGGTAGATGACTTCCGAGTCGGATTGCGTGGAGAGTATCTTTCCGAGGGCTTGAATGAGACGTTTCGACTCCTGTCTGGACTTCTCCTTGAAGGCGAGCACTGCATAATTTATTAGTGTAGTAGTCGCAGCAATTAGGACATTGCGATTAGAAGGTCCAATCGCAGCACCGCCAGAAATGCCCAGCACACGCTCGAGAACGCTCGCTGCAAGAGGAGCCTCCTTCGTGGCTAGCGCTCGACCCTGAGGGGAACTGAAGATGTTCGCAAATGCCCTGAGTGCCATCATGACCGAATTCTCATTGGGCGCGGCACCGTCTGTCGCCTCCAGAGCGCTGGTCGCAGCGATCTGGAGGAAAGAAGCACCTGGAAGTGCGAGGTCAGCAGCGAGAGGTGCTGGAGCAACACATCTTAACAAATCCAGGCCGGCGAGTCGCTCAGTATAAGGCCAGTGTGTCACAATCTTGACCGTGAGATCGATGCCTTGTTGACTAACGGCCGTCGAAGATTCAATGGCCTCCTTGACAGCTTTGAGTATGCTTTGCTCGTTGGGGTTCAGGGCAGAGTCCTTGCGACCAGAGGAAATCATGTTCGCGTTGGTTGTGAGGATTTTGTTAACCATGGCATCATATTTGCCGGCCGTGATGAAGAGGTACTCGGTATGCGGTAGGAGCTTAGGAGCTAAAGTTTCCGGCTCGCCAGGGCGATATCTCGACTCCGTGCCGTAAGGATCAGCGCCACCTGAGGGTGCTGACTGGCCAAGGGTGGCACCTTTGGTGTTCTGGGTGATGAAGCCGGCCACGTTGTCCAGATAGCTCAGTGGCAGCTCGTTGTCATTAAGAAACTTTGTCGCAGCGTCGTAAGGGTTTTGCGACAGGTTGTAAGGCAGCTTCAAGGGTGGCTTTCCGTCCTCGATATCAACGTCAAAAACGTAATCATAAGACTTGCCATTGTGTTCTGTTTTCTTTCCGCTACTTCCGGCGGAGTCAACTACGGTGCCAATGTTGATCCATTGTTGTTGACCTATGCGCCGTTAGCCGTGTACCTGAGAGAGTGGTTTAAGATCAAACTCACTTTGGGACCATTGGTGGGCAGTGATCAGTCCATTACCCTCGTTGATCATCTGTACCTGGCCCTCCTTAGTGCCCGACCTAGACTGAAGAAACTCGGGACCAGGTAGCTTCTCCTTGTTGATATCTGGCAATTGTTGCTGAGGAATTGCTGAAGCCTTCACCGACTCCTCGAACGCGGAAATGGCGTCGGCACTTGCTGTCCGCTCAGAGTTGCGCGTGAAGACACGCGCAACTCCATCACTGGCTCCTGTAATGATGTCGCCAGACTCCTGATTCGCAGCAACAGCCCAGACTGAGATGGCAGGATGTGTGATGGTCTGAACGCACTCGTTCCCCTTCCATATTCGTACAGTGCGATCCTCTCCGGAGCTGATTAACTCACCCGAAGGAAGACTTGTCAAAGCGTAGATGAAGTTCTCGTGGCCGATTAGCTCTCCAACTTGCTGACCATTCAGCTTCCACAAGCGGATGATGCCATCGTTGCTGGCACTTGCAATATCAGCTCCGCTCGAATGGCCCTTGGGAACCTTTGCGAGAGCACGAATAACTTCAGGTGTGTGGATAGTTGATTGTGGTTCGGCGTCCCCGGCAATGGCGGAGGGAAGCTTGTAGATGCGAATGTTCGTATCGGCGCATCCCGTGACTACCGTGTCCTCGTCAAGAGCAAGAACAGCCCACACACTCTTATCATGACCGCTGAGACGGATCTCAGGTTCCCAGGTGTTGATATTCCAGACGATGGCCTGAGCATCCCATCCGCCCGATACAAGATAGGATCCCTTTGGCGATACATCCAGAGTGCACACGTTTTGGGAGTGACCGATCAAAAGTCTCTCGGCGTTGTCACCCGGGGCAGCTTGGGGTTGTTTGACTTCGACGATGGTATCCTTACCACCGGAGGCAATCAGTCCATTCGGGTATGCTTCAGACGGTTGAAGATATGTGACAGCGTTGACAAATTCGGATGTTTGGCTCGAGATTGTGGGTTCGAAAGTCGGAGGGGGTCCTGACGTTTGACGCCAGACTCGTACACTACCATCTCGAGAGGCAGTGAGCAGGGTTTGATGAGCAGGAAAGCTGACTGCCTTGACCTGTGGATTGCATACGCATTAGCTGACGAACAGAGCGTTGGGGCGTTGAGGTTCGTTTACTTACGTCTGAGTCGTGGCCAGACAGCTGAGCGGATAGCTTGAAGTCTGTCGTCATTGCTGGCAATCTGTGATGGAGGTGGGGAAAAGTAAACAAGGTAGCTATCAAGAAGAGTCTAGGTACGTCTCTTTGAGTGGAAAGCTCGCTCGTATCTTGATTTGTAGTGGTGGGCGGTAACTTTCTTTCCTTTCGTTACCTTATGAAGGTAAGGTTGTCATGTAGGGAAGGTAGCTAGGTAGACGATGATGACGGAAGCGGGAACGCTGAAGCTCCATTGCGCCACAGTGCCTACCTACCTTATGGATACCCACTGCGGGCAGGCTGTCCCTGCCCCGGGCCTGCGTAGTACCTATGGCAGCCGCGCCTCAAAATATATCGACATCAGCCACATCTGCGGGGCCAGCCAGCAAAGCACGTGGCTTCCCACAGGTAAACAGATGAGGTTGCCCGCAAAGCCAGGAGCTTACCTCAGCAGACCCCCCTCCTATTAGGTAAGGTAGTGGGTAGGTAATCCGCAACCTGCACGGAGCAGCGCGGGGTCACTCTGGAGTTCTAGCTGCTCGTGGCAGGACCGGCCTGGTTTCAGGGGTCCATCGAATTTCCTTGACTCCTTCCAAAAGTCGGGAACAAGGGACAAGGTGTGCCTTTGTAAGGTACCTCATTCCACGGAACCGGCTTCCATTAGGTAGGTACCTACGGAGCACACTCTCACCTTTCGCCTTTCCCACCTGTTCTTGCAGCGGATTCCATCAAACAATCGCACCCGACAGATTCCAGGCGCAAATCGGCCTTGCTCCGACTCGGAGAGCCCCCACTATTATTTCATCCGCGCCGCTCCCGTCTCCCATTGCTTCTCACATCCAGCAGCTTTCCCCATCTTCCTTTTTTTCTTTCCCTTAAAGTGCTTTTGCTCTATTTCCTAGAGTTATCGCTACTGTTGCCGTCGCTGCGCTGCTTGTCCTCACGCGATTCATCGTACCTACCCCTCACGATATTTACGACGTAACGGCTGTACCTCACTGACCCTCCTTGACTTCGTTTTTCCTCCTCATCTCGTTCGAGTGTCAATCGCGAAAGAAACGCCCCCCCCCCCCTTCCCCCCCTCAAAAAACAGCGAAACAAAGCTACAACTTGTCGACAACTTGATGCCCCTCCCCAGCGCAAACGTCTCGATTGCGACTCTCACGAAGGCGAACAAGCACCTAGTCCCTCGAATACCTCACATCAACGACGATATGGCGGCCGCTGCCCCTCCCGCTGCCGAGACCTCGCGTCAATATGTTCCTCTGACCTGCCATGGTCACTCTCGACCTGTTCCTCATGTCTGCTTCTCTGGCCTTGAGAAGGGAGAGCAATACTACATGATCTCGGCTTGCAAGGGTAAGCTGGGGATAGAGGATCCTGCGCTGCCACCAGGGGTTCGCTAACCCTGTCGCAGATGGAAATCCAATGTTGCGCGATGGCGTTACTGGCGATTGGTAGCTTCCTCCTCCCAGACCAGTTGACCGCGCGTAATTGACGAGTGCTCACACAGGATCGGAACCTTCATTGGCCACAAGGGTGCTGTCTGGCAGGCCAGATTGAGTCCTGATGCCTCCAACGCCGCAACCGCCTCTGCCGACTTCACCGCGTAAGTCCTATCACGCGTCACTCACACTCCGAATCGTGACTAATGACCAGCAGCAAGGTCTGGGATACTCACAGTGGAGAGGTCCTGTACACCCTCCAGCACAACCACATTGTCCGCGCCGTCGCTTACCCGCCTGACAACTCTGAGCTCATCGCCACAGGAGGCATGGAGAAGAAGCTTCGCGTCTTCGACCTCAGCGATTTCACCCCCGATCCCAACTCTCCCGCCGGTACGCCCATCACTGTGCCCGCCTCGGCTGGCTTTGAGATTGGCGAAGGCACCCATACTGGCTCCATCAAGTTCATTGCTTGGACCAAGGATCCTAACACGATCGTCACTGCGTCCGACAACACCCTCAGATGGTTCGACCTGCCCACCCGCAACGTCATCCGTCAGGAGGTCCTGGACGGCGAGATCAAGTCCTGCGAGCTCGTCTCCCTTGCGCCCGAGCACACCTCTCCCGGCGATATCGGAGGCGGTCTTCCTGTCTTGGCTGTGGCCGCCGGCAAGTGGGTATACTTTTGGGGAGGCCCGCAAGCGATGGACGAACTCAAGCGTTTGGAACTGAAGCATGGTGTTGCAAGCGTCGGTTTGGACCTCAAGGGTCGCAAGATTGTCATGGGTGAAGAGCCGGGTACCTGGGCACGCGTCTGCCGCTGGGACGACGCTGGCGAGATTGGTGAGTTGGGGGATGGAAACCATTAAGCAGGATACCCACTAACAAGCTATCAGAGACTCTCAAGGGGCACCATGGCCCCATCTGGTCCATTGCCTTCTCCCCAGACGGCAAACTGTACGGAACTGGATCCGAGGACGGCACGATCAAAATGTGGAAGAATTGCGACGGATTTTACGGACTCTGGCGTGGCGGTGCCCCAACTGCTGAACGTAACGTGGACTAGAGGAGCACGTCTTCCAGCACAGGTTCTCGCAGCGAAGGAAGTGATGCAATCACTCCAACAAGCAGCAGGGTCTCGTCGGGCTCATTCATGGACGGAGTCTCTCATTTGAGCAACAACTCTGTCACGGAAACTCCCGCAATTGCCCACCAGCTGATGGACCGCTTCTTTGCCACGGCTACAAGCAAGCTCGAGGCTGGGATCCCCGCCTCTAGACTTGCTGATAGAGATCGCTACCAGCACAGAGCAGAGTGAAGCCCTCTGAGATGCCGGCTCTACTAGTTCAGTTGGTGACCATATGTTTTTCGTAGAAAAGTACGCACGAGCAAACCCACAATGGTCGGGTTGCTCTGAGCGGCCAAGGCTTCGAGAATTAGGCTAGATGACTGCCGTCAATGGCGGCTGATGTTACAATAAACCATGTACAACTTGGGTTCAATGACATGCCATAGGCCGTGCCTAGTGATGCGGCTGTGCGGTACGCCTTTCTGTGGTCCCCAGCTACCACTATCATTGCTGCTCTCTCGCAGCTGAGTCTCTGTAAGAACGCTCTTTGCCTCAAGAAGGCGGAAGCTGACCTCACGCAAAGCACTTCGCCGAGTCTCGTTAAGCGACGAAACTGGAATTCGCGAATCACTGCCACCTGGCCACTTAATTCTATCATCCTCATCGTAGGCTTTGCAACGCCGAAACTCTGCGATAGTTCGATGGGATAAGTGGCGATCTCGCTGATTCCGATATCATCAACAGACGTTCCTTCTGCTGATTTACTGAGGGTAACCAGGACCGTCGTCCAAGGAGCCAGCTGTAAAATTCCCGGAAGTAAGCTCCAACGTCGCTTGCATGCTCCACGCAGCCTGCCCTGCGCTCAGTCAGATGACAAGATTTCTTGGGCGGGCCATCTTATAAGAAGAACCGTGGGTAATGACTTACTAGCGGCGCAAATCACCAGAGGAGGCTTGGGCGTGGAACAGCGGGCGAGGGATAGCGCTCAACAAAGGAAATTTATCCTGTACCACATACAGCCTTTATGAGGAGCGTAGTTAAAAGCCGTAGGAAAAATTAATCATCGATAGTGGCAAGAAACAACCTAGTAGCACTATCGCAAGCCTGTCCCACAACGCTTAGGGATCGCAATACAAAAGAAGAGAAAAAGATGGAAAAAAATGCTCGGAATTGCAAGAACTGTTGTAGATCACTAAGCTTAACAAAACGACTGCCTGGGTCATTTCGTCGCTTGCCCGAGGGTAGGGAAGGTTAATCACAATCTTCGGAGAGAGACATCCAGCATAACGCGACCCCCCCCCCCCCCCCTCTCTCTCGAAGCAGTCTTTTCGTCTAGTCTAGGCTCCTGCTAAGTTACTCTTCGAGATTTTAGAACTTCTCCAGACATTTCTCTCGCTCTAGGTCTTGGAAAGAACAGAATAGATGATACCGGTATTGAGGGGCAGTAGGCCATGCTGCTCACTTCAGCCGTAGTTCGTCCATCTAGCATGTATGGTGAAATGTCTCACAGACGCTTTTCGTGACAAATTGGCTGCATCTCCCATACGTTCGCTCTGAAGTCAAGCTCAACGCTCGCAAGGAATAGATTACTAAACATAACATCCATCAGCAAGTCCCAAACGATGCTACTTTTTGTGGCTAGGAGGCATCATTCTTTGCCAGCTTAAAGTAATGAATTCGAGTGATGAGCACAAAATTGAACGACCTTGCCCTGGCAGGGGGAGAGAGCTCAGTGCCTTAATTGGTTCCCTTTGGATTGTTATTATTCAAAGAAATTACCGGTAGTTTTCAACGTGCTATGAATTTGACAACCTCCCAAGTACTGACGCGGACTTGTCTGTTCCGATCAATGATGGCTCTCTACCCAACAAACTTCTTGAGGTTGACGTCAATGGGCCCTCAATGCGATCATCTTAGGCCTAGATAGATGACTCTGACCACCCAATTTAAAGGCCCCTGTTCAATACGGACACATGCCGTCTGTGGTTCCCGGCCCGAGGGTGGGATTGAATAGATGTTTTAGTCCTCAAGTCTCATCTACCACTGGCGCGAACTCTCAGGCTTGCGGGTTAGACTCGTGCAGCTTGGTCCAAGTTGTGACTATGACTGCTAGTTCCCGAAACTCAAAAGACCGGATTCCGAAGCACGGAGCTCCAAATGTCATGTTCGACATCCGAAGGCCACTAGTCATCGCTATTCGCGGGGTTGGCATGTTTGAGAATGTATATTAAGGTAGTGTGGAGATTTCACAAGTATCGGCGGGTCAGCTCGTCTCGGGGATAGAAAGCAACCGAGAGACCCATATTGAGCTCCCCAGATATTGCAGGAACACATTCACCTCTGAAATACATGCGACATCGGAATATTTCTATAAGACTTAGCCCTTACATCTTTTCAAACAGCTAGCTTCACTTATCACAGAGCCACTTGGCCCGGATACGCCTTCAACAAGCCAAAATGGATCTTCTGCCGCATCCAGACGACATGTCTCGTTTCTCAGACGTTACCATCTTGACAACAATCTACAAGACAGTCTCAGACCACTCCATCACCACCGACGTCCTCATCCCGAAGAAGTTGACAGAGGCCTCGAGCCCGGTATCCTCCCCATGTCCTATTATACTACGCTATCACGGCGGCGGCTTCATCGGCGGCGCGAGTCTCTACCCCGGATTCTTCGCGCCATGGCACATGGAACTCGCGGCCCGCCACTCGGCCGTGATTGTGAGCCCGAACTATCGCCTCGCGCCAGAGTCCACTATCGACGACCTCCTTGAAGATATCGAGGATCACTGGACCTGGGTTCATAAGGAGCTAGCCCCTTTTGTCAAGCAGGAGACTGGAGGTCGCGTTGACGTCGACACGGATCGGATCCTCACGGCTGGTGACAGTGCGGGAGGCTACCTAAGCATCATGGCAGGCTTATCTCATGCCAAGGAAATCCGGGCTGTGACAGCCGCCTACCCTTGTATCGACCTTGCCGACGCACACTTCATGGAGAGGCCGACGGCTCCGGTCTTTGGACTAACCCTGCCTCAGAGCATCGTCGACGACCATTTTGAAAAGATTCGCAATGGTGAGGCGCCTGCACTCATTTCTAACGACCGAAAACTCGAGAGGGGCCTCCTCATGTTCGCCAACCTTCAACACGGCGGTTTCCCGAAGATGTTTCCGCTCGAGAAGAAGCAGCTTTTCCCGTTTGAGAGGTTGAGAGCTGGGCAGAAGTTTCCGCGCGGAGGTGTATTCGTCTGGCAAGGTGCTGATGACAGTGTTGTTCCGGTGAAAGGGAACGTCGCGTTAAAAGAGTTGGTTAGGGAGGTTGACCCTGACTTGGAATTCAACTTGGCGGTCCAGCCTGGCGAGCATGGGTTTGATGCTATGGCGACGATTGATGAAGAATGGATGGCGAGTGGGCTGAGGAACTTGGTGAAAGTATGGCTACAGTAGATTGTCTAACCTGGCTGCTACGTTGGCGGCATCATTATTATTGAATCCATGTGCACTGCTAGGTGTAGCTCTTATTGCACTGCAAGAGCCAGTAGCCTACATTTCTTTCTACACCATTCTCTATGTGACACCTGCCTCTAAAATAAGAGTTAGCCTTAGTGTTCCCAGAGACGACATCATCAAATTTCGTTAGTACCTTTTCTTTACCCCGAAAAAGCGTCTTGAGTTGCTGTAGACTTTGAGTATCTTGATAGGGGGAATCCCGGAGAGTCAGCTTCCCAAAATGCTTGCAAGTGCGCGAGAAGGCTGTTGCTTCCAGTATTGAAGCGATCCGTTGAGCTAAACTTCACATCGGTTATCCGGCAGCCGGTAATTAAGCCAACTTCAGAGATCATCGGCCAGGATAATCAAGACGGAATCAAAGCATTAGTAGTTGAAGTGGTTGTCAAAGGACGTTTGATGTGAACCAAGCACCTACGAACAGGTGTTCGACCCATTTAATTAGTGCCAGTAACAACGGCTTCAGTGTTGAAGCTGCATATGAACAGCTAGACCTTCAAGCCTCTAGTCATCTCGACAAAAAGAGACGGCTTCCAGAGCTGGTTGAAGCGCTTCAGGTAAGAAGTTGCAGAATGATTTCCAATATCCCCAAGAAGGGTTATTCGCTACGTACTACAAACTAACCGCACCCCTGAGCCTGCCGTCAACGCTAGTATTGTTTTGTTGAATAGTTGCGGAGTAGCTCGTCTATTTGATATTGAGCATATCTCCCGACCGCTTTTGCGTAAGTCCTCTCTACCTCTGTCCCATACATAGGTTGCTCACGGCTATCTCGAAATTCCGTCGCCCTTCACCCTAAAACTTTTGTTCTCATTTTCAGCGGGACATGGTTCGCTGTACCTCACACCTTATGTCCCATCAGCTTCACATAGATATTGCTGAGCGTCCATAGAAAGCTCGTACTTCCAACGAAGAGGAGGAGAGGGCCCGATTTCGTGAAGAGCAGGAAGGGTCCTCACGTCGCTTGCCCCGACACCGCCGCACCCATGGCCCTGTCTCTTCCTTCGCGAGTGCCTCCAGATAACTCAACCCACTAGATGTATGAGAGCCAGCGTTCCCACAACGGCGCCCGCCGCAATGCCAGCGATTGTACCGGTAAATATCCCGTTATTCATCCCACTGGAGCTAGGTGACACAGATGGCGATGCTTCAATCAGTGTCTAGATGTTGTCGCCTAGATGGATGCTACAGAGTTGGTACTATTGAGATAATGGCAAGTGATGTCTCCCACAGAGTCACTGTGGTTGAACATCTGAATAAAGTGTATACCGGTCTCAAAGTCGGATCGTGGTGCGATGGGAAGCCACTAAAGCTGATCGCCCACAGCATACTCAACGCACGCATGTTTGCTGCATCGCATAGCTCTCATTCAAAGAATCACTTGCAGTGGGATTGACCTACAGATGAGTGAAGCATACGCTGCTTCACTTGTCGGGTACGTCGCTTCGTGCCAAATGAGTAAGCCGACTGCCACAAAGTCCGTTTCCCATTGTAGATCAGGCTGGATTCCCAGCGGGTACACAGGGTTTTCTCGGAAGTCACCGAGAGACCCTGTCCAGGCGGTCTTCGAAAACGGTTTTCGGACCGTGTTCCGTGGGCCGTGAGAAGAAGGCAAATTGAGACAAGACCCAGAAGATGCATGATGAATGCGAGTCCCTAAGAGCCTGCGACGATCGCCAGCTTGCCTAGGTGCCCATGCAGACGAGACGGATGGAGCGCAGATCGGAGAATCATCAAGGGGAGGTGCAGAAGAAACTCAATATGTTGTCCAGCTGCCAGGCTTCCATACGGTTTTAGTCCCAAGCGAATCAGGCTGTGACCAAAGCTTGAGCTGGTAAGAGAAATTGAAATCAGCCATGCAAGAAGCTCCGTCCACAGGCGTTGACGCTATTGGAAACTGGCAACGACTTTTTTCCAATTCAAAATCTCATACTCCATATTATTTAGTCGCCCTGCTCGCGATCCGCTGGCGCTGATGTGTGCAGTTGCATTGACTAGACCCAAGTATGCTGTTGCGTGCAGCGCAGTCCAATTATGTCTTGTCCGGAAGAGGATCTTTATTAAGAACGTGGACACAGGCTGGCAGCGTAGGTCTTGGCGCGAAGCAACATGAGTTTGGGTCCTAGAATCCATCTCAAGGATGACTTCCTCCCATTGCACAATCTCTTCTTGAAAGGGGCCTGATTGACTGTGTGTGACAACGGTGCTGCGTATAATCAATGCGTCGAGTTGAGAGTCCGGAGAGAAGTATTATTGTTGTATTTTGTTCTCGATGAAATAAAAATGCTGCTACTCAAATCATTACAACATCAAGTGCTCAGTCATCTATTGGTAGAACTACACGAACTCCTTCCTGGATTTGTCCTGCGACTCAGTGTCAGACTGTTGTCTGTTCAGACTTGTTCGTTGTTTGAACTTACGATCTACGTATTTGATCACTTGATTGTGATTCTTGCAGACTGGAAGTACGTCCGTTAGATCTCGCTCTTTGAAATTGACAAACATTGGCTTAGAAGTGCCTACAGTATGTCGAGAGGGGACGAATTGCCTACCATGCATGCCGTTCCAACTGCCATCTCCAGGCCCGTTGTCGTCCGCGTCCGTAATCAAATGTGGTTCAAGTGCCAGGTCCGCTGAGCACATGGCTGCTTGTCTCAGATAGTCAATGCAGTGATAGAAATGGATATCAGCCTCGGTCCTAGACATATCAGTCTTGTTGGCGACTATCCCGGAGTAGATGCGTCCCATCATGAACTACAACAAGTCAGTAAATGTATCTCTAAGAAACAGAGATCAGACAGTTGAAGCGTACAATGCAATGCAATTGATGGGTCATAGTAGTGGTGAAGAAAGGACCGTCGTCCTCAGATTTCCAACCGGCACCAGCTAGAACGGTGTTAATGAAATGTCAATCTTGTAGTTGAGGTCCCGGCTATGGAAGTACCAGGCAAAAGCGATCGCCATTGGTTGAGCGTAGCTTCGGAAAGAAATTCAGTTGCGTTGGGAGGCACCACGGCATGGTCGGCATCAAATTTCTTGATCTCGATCGGAACTGCAGGTAAAAACAGTCAGGATAGTGAACTAGAGTATGGCATACCGTAGTCTGGGGGGCTGACTCACATTGAGGGCCAGCGCCTGTGTAATCGCCGCCAATTTGTGTCATTCGCGACGGAAACTTGGCGTCTTCAAATTGGTAGTACAACAGTAATGACAGTCCTAGCGAGAGACCAATATTCGTAAGGAGGAGAAGTGTGTCGATAAGCCAGCGATATCTCTTCAAGAGAACTTTGACTTCATTCCAAGTGCTTCCTGTCTGTTTCCCTTGCGCGTTCAGGTCTATTGAGTGCCATTGCTTGTCATCGCCCATGAGTGACTCGTCGACTTCAGTAGTGGAATCATCATAGGTATCTGAGTGCGACACTGTAGAGTAGTGATTACTTTTGGGGGGCATTTTGATGTTGGAAAAAAGAGTAACAGCGGGAGGGTCAACGTGCCGGAGAATGCAGAACGAGGGAACAATAGCAATCGTACAATGGTGTATGGGGTAATAATCAAACCTGGGGACCGTCTTGGTTTTGTCTATCGTAAGATCCGCAAACGGAGTTCTTTCCCCCATAATACAGGAGATACCGGCTCATTGTGCTTGGCTACAATGGCCGTTTGAGAGTTCGACCCAGGAGCTAGGGATGGGCATCCCATTATGGAAGGGATGACGGCGAGTGGAACCTCGAGCGAATTCTTGCACTCCTCAGTCCTGGTTTCCTAGCAGAGAAGGTCAAGTGGACGTACGATGAACCCCCTGCTGCTGTCATCTGTGCTTAGCCACGCAAACCCTTTGATACGTCTGTAGTGTTGCGTTGACATGTTTCATGTCTTTCAAGTGCTTGGCGCAGGACGGGCTTTGATGAAACGAGTGCTGGCTCAAAGCTGCAAGCATTTTCTGCAAGTCTGTCAAGACGGTCCCTGCATGGAACGACCGCAGAACAAGATTTCAAGACGGAAAAGTCAATTCCAAGGAATTAGGACTCTACACTAATATAGCTGTAAACGTGAAGACTGACAGATCGCGTACTGAGTGCGAGCTTTCGGGCAGGTAACAAGTTCTTGGGGTTGGTGAATTTGCCATTTTGGGGGCCCTTCAGTTTGAGCCAGGGACTTAAACGAAATCTGGAACCCCTGTGATGGGTCCCAACTGCGTCTCACCTGCCTGCCGATAACCGAGTCGATCCACACCACCAGCCTCGTGATGCTATTACCTAAGATGAGACATCAGCTAGCAAATCGAATGTCAGGTGTAAGAAGTACGTCGGTCCAGTTCGCAGACGATCCATATCATCCATTGAATGGCTGTCGTCAAAGGCGAGAATCGGGCAGAGCAAGTCAGTTCAAGATGATATCTCAGAAGCGACTTGCATGAATGAGAGAAAGACAAATCCCAACAGGCATAAGTTTCAACAAGTCCTTAGGCCTTACTTCTATTCAAAAGATATACATGCGTCAAATTACATCTTCAGGAGAGACAGAGCGTTGCACTGTAGGACAAAATAAAGTCGAATCGAAAATCATAATGAAAGTTCAATCCTTGCACACGTAAGCTGTACTTGCTGAATGGAACAAAATACAATGTTTCTCCTCAAAAGTACTCCTGTCGGAACGTTATAAGCCATACCATATTTTCACGAATGAATACACAGCCCGGTATTTTTCATGCTCTTGAGAGCACTTCTCCCTCTATGAAAGCATAAGTAGAATATTGGAACAAAAAGGACAGTAACGTCACATGTAGATGGGATAGAATGATGGCGGAGGGCGCGGACGCTAGTTTTCTCTCTGCATCTAGATGTACAGCCTCAGATGATGAGTGCTATGCGCCTTTTGTTACCTTGGAAAAGATGAAGACTCTGTTACTATGCTGATCACATCAGAATAGAAGTCCACAACTACTGAGTGACGTCCGATAGCTATGGTACTGTACATGTGACTTCAATCATATGGGTGTCTTCTCAGCCTGCCATTACATCCTTCATGCAAGCTTGTGATTATTCTTGCTGCCCGAAGACAATGAATAGAGATCGGACATTACTGTGGAGTTATCAGCCACACCGAATCCACTTCGTGTTGATTGAGCAGGCTCAAGCATATGAAGCCATGTTTCAATGCAAGTTGGACGCAAGTACACTCATCTTGAACGAGCTTTCAAAAGGGCTATTGCTTACACATTCTATTTAGGGCCACTGTAATTGGTTACGAGCGGTTGTAATATGAAGAGATCACAAAGCCTTAACTAAGACCATCTTCCGGACTACCGTAGCTGTGAAACTTGACCTTTCACTTAGCATTGGTGCATGTGATGCATGTCGTACGAGACGGGCTCAGGAAAAGCACCATCATCATGATACTTGATGGCTTTCGAAGTGAAGTTGATCTTCAATTGCACCAGGACGGCTTGAGGAAATTCATCCGCTGAGAATAAACAGCTTCAGCCCGAGAAATCACACTTCGTTTGGATCGTTGAGAGTGGTATGAACTTGGATTTACAAGTACTAGATCGTCTGGGCGGTTTCACGACGTTTAACTGAATTCTCCAGCATTTCGACAACTATTACGATACGATGAGAGAAACATGGAACGTTTATCAAAACTTAATACCAAATGTCGACTTGACGAAGATTCATTGACCTACACTTCGTTTGTGTTGCAAATGGTTACATTAGTTTTGTCTATTCGATGTGCTTGCTGCACCAATATGCCAGATCAACAATTGATATAGGAAAGCTACAGGAGCTCCGGGAGATAGACACTACTTTGTTCCATGGATCGCAATATTGTACTCGTTAGTTTCAGGGTTGGGGGATAAGGTCCTGAAATGATTTGTAGATTATCTGAGCTTGGGCTTCTAGAGTGGGAGATGACAGGCCTTGGCGGGAACCTCTCGAACGAAATCGTTGAGGGGAAAAGGAAGCCGGGCACTAGTAAAGGGTAGTTAGAGACAGAGGTAGAGATCATGGTTCACTTGCCTGAGAGTCGACTAGTCGCGCTGTGGACCGACATGTTGATGCAGCTGCCTTTTCGCAAGCCGCTTGACTCGCCGATACGAGGTTTTGCAGTCTCGGACAATGCTCTGGCGTGCCTGGGAGATAATTTACGAGAGGAAATCAGACCGGCGCAAGGCGTGAAGCTCTCACTCTGTCTCTCGCTTCCAATTGCGCGGGTGAATGCCCATAAGATAGCTAAAATTATCACGTATGTAGCATCAATTGCCCCAAAGCAGAGGCGAGTGCCGATTGTATCCTGTTGGAAGTTTTCTAGTGATGTCATGCGTTGAACGTGGGTCACCGTTGCAGCAGTACTCCGTACTGTAGGGGTTGGGAAGCAGTGGAAGGCCGGTGCTGCATCAGTGTGCTTCAGGTTTGGTATTATTGGTAGGGGGGTTGGGGGGTTCGCAGGGGCTAAAGCATAGATAGGCAGTGTACGAGTATTGGGAAGGCGGAAGGCGACAATGGCGTTTGAGATGAAGGGGTAGGTACTGAGACGACGGGGACTGTTCATGGAAGAGCGATGACCAAAGGGATTTCCTTGCTGATATTGGAGCCAGATTAGTGCGGTAAGGTTGTTAAGATTTCTTATTTGGAAGGGGTCGGGGATTTTTGCAGCACTGAAAGGAGTAAATTAGGCAAGCGTAGGTAGGATGGGATGACAGTTTCTGATTGTGCTAGTTGTCACCATCAATCCGTACAAAGTTACGAGCGTACCCGGTACGGAGGGAGTACGCAAACTTTCATGGTCTAAAAAATGAACGGGAGGAAAACGATGGGAATCGGATATCGACAATCTGATTCTCTTGAGGATAGTTGTGCGAATGGATGATGCTTGTTTCCGTGCATTTCCTTTGGTGGAATTGGTAGCATGTTCGGCCTGACGATCACCGGCCCCCTCGCATTTCGTATGATTGAACTCACTGTGCCATTCGGGTCCTCTACTGACGATACTTTCGCTAGAAAAATAGATTTCTATCGCAGCCTTGACTCGGTAACTGTTAACGACCTAGTGGTTGGAGCGTTGCCGATGAGGACCTGTATTGATGACGAAGTCGGTTCTTTTGCTGTTCGCAAATGCCGTCACGGATACAGAGTACCGGCGGGACCATGTTCGTACTGAGCAAGCGAGACGAAGAGGCTGGACGAGAGGAGCGACAAATCGAAGAGATGGATCATTGAGGGCGGGGGGCTAGTGGGAGGGAAGGGGTCACGGGTTTTCGTGAGGAGGAGAGGGGTGGGTGGGCTGGCTTATAGAGAGGGGCGCAGTTACACTTAAAATGACAGGGTGGGCAACAATGGTCGCTCAGCCAACCACGGTCGGCCAATGAGACCGGGTCGACAACAGCCAGGGCTTCGGCCCACTAAAGAAACATTCAGACTCGCCGGTACCTACTGTGTAGGCACACTCAGTTTGCAGTCAACGATTTATCGTTGGTCTTGTCTAGATTGTAGTCGCAAACTGTTGTCCCAAGAGTGAAGCCCTCCTGAGCATGTCCCGCAAGGTTACTAAGGTAAAGGTACGTACTTTGTGTAAGGGTGAAGTGTAGGCGCGAGCGAGTGATGAGGCACCTAGGGTAATATACCTAGGATGACTGTGAGTGCCTTTTACTAAAGTAGGCGCAGACCTGCCTTACGTGGTACTTCGTGGGTAGGTGCCCCAGGTAAAGCACCGGCTGCTTTTCGGGGATTTAGTCATCTGCTGTCTCTGCACAGCCGCTTCCTCAACTGCACCTGACTGAGATAGGTACTCCGGGCTCTTTGGTATCTCCCTCCGCCTCCGCTGTCTTCAACGGTCTCCCCCGTTATTGGCAGAAGGCATGGATAATCGCTCAGGTCCGAGTACCGTACGGTAGCAAGGCAACCAAGATTACCTAGGTGAAGTCCAAAACAGAAAGTGATGTTTGTATCTCATGAGCTTACGGTCGGAGCATGACACATGCCGATCGGTGGCTGCATGGAAAGTGCCGCTCTTTCCCATGTTGCCTCGACCAGGGGCTCAAAATAAACCTGCTTGGCTTGGGCTACCTTGCTTTTTTCTTACCTTTGAGGTGGGCCTTTTGCACCTCTCAGTGTGTGGTGTGGTATGTGCCTCCCTTCTCCATTTCCCCTACGTGGGTACTCCATAGTTTTTCACTCCGAGAAAACTACCTAAACGGATACCAGGCGGGTCTGGTCTTGCCCAGGTTCAGGTTTGTATCCGTACTCCGTACATAAAATGCAATGCCAGCAGTATTCTCTCCACTCTTTTGGTCTGATCCCATCATCCCAAGGTGCCCCCCTGTCCTGGATGACGGCACTCGGCAGGTTAGGAACAGATGGGCCAGGGAGAAGTCTTGTCAGCACTGGGTACCTTCTCCCCAGATTCTAGCATGGAGATACAAGGCTGGGCCGTTGTCATGGAGGCTCCATGGCCGTTGTTGACGAGACTCAGAAAGTACGGAGTGTCCGCAAGGTACTTAGCTATGTAACTTGCCAAGGAAGGACATCAGCAATTGGCAGTGGTTGCTTCCTCCCGCGTCCGCAAGAAAGATGAGGTTATCCGGCACACGGGAAGAACATGGCTGAGGAAGAAGGTGCCTTTGCTTCAGCTGTGCCTGCCCCGTTCCTGCCATCCCATCCTGTTGGAACCTGATAGCTGCCCCAATTCGCCTCACTCGCGTGTGCCCACGCCCATTTTGCCTCTTTTCGCAGGTTTCGCGGTCTCACCTGGGCCAAGATTGAAAAGCCAAGATCCACGACCAGACGACCACACCCATGGAAGCCACCGTTCGTCGTGCTACCCACCCCGCTGTATCTGTACCCTTCCAGCCTTCCTTCTTCTCTCTCGAACGCCCCATGCCCGTCGCCGATGACATTTCTTCCCAGCCTTGTCTTCAGCATCTCTGACGAGAACCATTCCAAGCAACGACTCCTCCGGCTCCCGCTTCCTGCGCACCCCGCGGGGCAGTTTCTGGTACAGTGGTACTCGAGCTCCTCGACAAAAGTCAGTAACGACTGGTCGCAAGCCAATACGAGCAAGCGCAACGCCAGACAAGGGAGCCGCACGGGTGTACCAAAATACGAACTTCTGACCTGGCGCTGCTGCGGGCGAAACACCCAAATGCCCAGCCAGATTTTCCGCGCCTAAACGCTTCTGGTGGCTTGCTCACCATTCTCGCTGACCAGGCACCGCACCACACCTCCCTCACCTCAACTTCTACCTTTTCTCTCCCCTGACCGTTCCTGGCTGAGCGAAGCCCAATTTGACACTTTGCGATTCCCCTATGCTTAATCGCACACAGGTTTTCAAGACAAACACTTCAAAAAACGCATGATTCCTCGCCTCGACATCGTCATACCGGTGATTCCCCGGCTTCCCGCTGCTCACCCGTTCAAGCAAGCAAACGTGACACACGTGCCTGCGACTGTCCCACGAAACTCCCTCTGTTACGCTCAAACATCGCCAAACTCGCCGCGACACTACTTTTACTAGGCGGAGGCGACTAGCTTGCGTCGTCCGCCTGCCGATTTCTCACCCCGAGTCACTGGGCGACCTGGTGCACGGAGGTCAGTGATTCTTTCTTTGCTTCCCATCTGCACCGTCTGTTCTCCATGCATCTCTTCAATTCGGTGTGGTATCTTCCCGATCTCATCTCTACAATCGCTATGCTGGAATGATTGAGCGGGATACTTAGACATGCCCATTGCAGCGAGAACCGCGCTCACAATTACACAGTCGAAGTTCCAAGACATTTTGAAATTGCACCCGCATTCCTGCAATCACCGCACGCATTAGCCGGCCATCGTCCCAGGTCGACTCCCGTCTACCCAGCGTCCCTCGATTTCTCCGCTTCCCTCATCAACCACAATCGAGCAGGGCTTCTTGGCTGTTGGTCAGTCAACCATTCAACCCACGAGGGTTGCGAGACGTTTCCTCGAAAATCTATATCCTGCCCGAACCATGCCGCGATACGACTTTGAAGACGGCCGCGATGCCGAGCGAGAGCCTCTAGATCACGCTTATCGGTCTCATACTCCCAATCCCCCAGAGTACTATCAAGATAACCAGTACCACCATGGTGCGCCTCATGACTACCATCACGATTATGAGTACTCCGACCCCAATCATGATCCGAACCTGGGGCGCATGAGAGCTGAGCGGAGGAACGATCGCCAGGGACCACCACCGGCTGCCGTCGGTGCCGTGGGTGGTGCCGCTACAGCGTACGGAGCCCATCAAGCTGTATCCCCCATCGACAACTCTCCTCAAGTTCCGGTGCACCGCGACTGGGGCCCCGATCGTTATGCGGCCCCACAACAAAGCAATCTCAATCCGAATATCACACCTGGGGCGGACAACTTTAGCGATACGGCATCAGGAGGTATGGCTGGTATTGCTTACACCGTCGCCGAACGTAACGCCAGGGAGAGCGGGATTGGTGCCATGAGAAGTGCTGGCCAGATCCCGCGAGGACAGTCTCAGCAGCCCAGCGCACCACCGCAAGCTTACAGTCAACCGGGAGGCGAAGTATACGAGATGAGCAATGCCGTCTCGCGTCCTTACCAAGGTAGCTACCAGGGCAGTCTTCCGGACCGAGACTCCCACTCCAGCCTGACGGCTCTTGGCGGAGCTGGCGCTTCCCCTGCCAGGCTATCCCCATCTTCCAGCCCATACGGCTACAACGACTATTACAGCGAAAACCCCTACTACCAAAGACACCCTCAGAACCTTGGCGTGGTGGACCCTAGCTCTATTGCGGACGATGGTGATGATGGTCTGGACTATGGCAAGCCCAAAAGTGGACGTAACTCGATGCTTAGTCTTTCCAACAGCGATCGGACAGGCAAGACAAAAGCAGCTGGCGCAGCCGGTGCGGCCAGTGCGGCTGCTGCAGGAGGTGCCGCGGCAGGATTGATGGCGAACAGAAATATCAGTGGCTACTACGACCCCAAGGGAATGGCCGAGTACCAAAATGGCAGCGCCATTGACCTCAGCTCACCAGAGAAGAAATCGGAGTGGATGGCGCAGCAAAACAAGGGACGCAGAAAGTGGAAATGTTGCATCATTTTAGGAGTTATTCTCCTCATTGCCGGTGCCATCGCCGGTGGAATAGCAGGTGGACTTCTTTCTAGAAACAGCCGCGACGGCAGCAGCTCAGGAAATGGACAATCAGCAGACGACGACAAGAATTCCAATGGCGACCTCAACGCCGACAGCGCCGAGATCAAAGCATTGATGAACAACAAGGAACTGCATAAAGTGTTTCCCGGAATGGACTATACGCCTCTCAATTCCCAGTACCCCGATTGTTATCACAATCCTCCTTCACAAAACAACATCACCCGTGATCTTGCTGTTCTCAGTCAACTGACCAACACTGTCCGCTTGTACGGCACAGACTGCAACCAGACGCAGATGCTTATTCACTCAATTCAGCAACTCAAACTGGAAGGCACAGTGAAGATCTGGTTGGGTGTGTGGCAGGATGGCAACAAGACGACCAACGCGAGGCAACTCTCCCAGATGTGGGATATCCTGGATCAGTACGGAGACAAGCATTTTGAGGGTCTCATCGTCGCCAACGAGATTTTGTTCCGGAAGCAAATGACCGAGTCGGAACTGGGGTCTCTACTCCAAGAGGTACGAACCAACTTGACCAGCAAGGGGCTGAGCCTGCCTGTGGCAACTTCGGACTTGGGCGACGACTGGACGGCATCTTTGGCGTCAAAGAGTGACTACATCATGGCCAACATCCACCCGTTCTTCTCTGGGACCAACGCCAAGGACGCAGCGATGTGGACTTACGCATTCTGGGAAAACCAAGCCAGTAGCTTCTTCAAGTCGGACAAGAAGAAGAACGTGATTGCCGAGATTGGCTGGCCGACCAAAGGTGGCACGAGCTGCGGTGATGGCACTGCTACCGGCTGCCCCAATGCCTCGGTTGCCGGTATCGACGAGCTGAACGAGCTGTTGGACAAGTGGGTTTGTCCCGCTTTGACTAATGGTACCAACTATTTTTGGTTCTCGGCCTTTGATGAGCCATGGAAGATAATGTACAACGAAAAAGACAAGAACTGGGAGGATCAATGGGGCCTGATGGACGTCAACCGCAAGGTCAAGTCTGGCGTCGTTATACCGGACTGCGGCGGCACGACGGTCTGACACATTGATGCCAGATGACTGCTATGAGACTTGATGTATGGATGGATGAAGGATGATAGTCAAGCCCTGTGCCTGCTACTTAGCGATGCGCAGCACTGTACATGACGGAGTAGTCTGGAGTTTTGGGGACTGAAGCATGCCCGGCTTGGAAGCTGCCGGCATCATTGTATGATGTTTTATACCGTATATCACGTCGGTGACAGTTTGAATGGGTGATTCCACATTGTATTTAGTATTTGATCGATCAGGAGGAATAGATTAGTTGAAATACTCCGTGTGCCCTGTCGGCTTGTGTTCTCATGTCGGGATTTCCTTCTCAATTGGCAAGCGCATCAAACCAACATAGGAGTTCGACGCTTGAGCAGTTTGTATCGAATGTAAGAAAGCCCAGATGCGGTACCGTGATCTGTGTAACGTCATCCGATGCAGTGGTTGGGCTCTTGACCTACGTACCTCTAATGCGTCTGGAACGGGTGAATCAGGACAACACGGGCGGGGGCGGGGATGTGCGGGGCGGGACCTGATCGACATGATTTTCCCGACGTCTCCGGCTCGGCTAGAGATCGCCTCACGTTGCTTCATCCACAGCAATCAACCTTTTCAAATTTCCGTCATTTCATCGCAAGTTGCCCCTTCCGTAATCACATTCTCCTCAAAAATCTGTAGCAGATTGTGCGATTTTCACATCCCCTTGAGCCTCGCGCCCTTACGTAGAGACCGCGTCCACGAAACAACTGTGATGAGAGTCCGGGCGCCGCACTCTTCCCTTTTGTCGTTTCTGGCCACCAGCAGCGTCGTAGAAGGAACACTGAAGTGGATGAATGTCACGAGGCCGACGCCCAATGTCCCACTGGCCCCCGTGCCGCTTCCTGAGTCTGGGGCCGCGCGGGACGGCGCGGAGATTGTGAAGCAGTTGACGGGGTTGTCTCGGTCGAGTATGAGCGGTGGCGAGGGTGCGAGACTGGATCTTGTCAAGGTTATTGAGCTTGAAGGGGAGCTATGGGAACCGGAGGGAATGGTGAGGCTTGCGGGTGGTGATGTAGGGAGGAATGACAGAGCACGGGGCCCAGTGGAGGTAGATGAGGAGGGGAATGGTGATGGGGAGAGGTTTTGGGTTTCGGCAGGGGAGTATACCATCCCAACGGAGAAGTATCCTGACGGAAAATGGATTGATGGGACGGATCGGAGTGCCGGGGCAGGCTTTGCGCATTTCGTAGTGTTTGATGGGCGCGGAAAACGTCTTGGGGACTGGGTTGTTTCCGAGGAAGGGGAGTTGGAGGTAAATCTCGACTCGAACATCCTTTTTCACCCTGATTGTCACCTTTGTTTTAAGGGGATTGTGTCACTTTGCAGCCCCCCTTGAAGTCAGACGGATAGCTGACGAAGGAAATAGTATCATAACGGCGGGATAGATTTTGACGGGCGACATATCTGGGCTACGCTCGCGCAGTACCGGCCAAATTCGACGGCGACAGTGGTGAGGGTCGATCCGGTCAGCATGGAGATGGAGAAGGCCTTCAAGGTGGCGGATCACCAGGGTGGGATCGTGCATGATGTCCACAACGGGACGCTGACGACCTTGGGGTGGGGTGGAAGAGTTGCGAGGAGATGGGATCTAGTCAAGAACGAGATGATATGGAAGGGCGAAACGGGCGGTGGGACCGGGAAAGGGGACCAGGCTCGACTTGACAAACGGAGTGAAGTGGATCATGATGGGGAATTCAACGAACCTCAGTCTACAATCGTGAATCCTTCACACTGGATCGATTATCAAGACTGCAAATCTCTCGGCACCGTTGATGGGAAGCATCTAATGCTTTGCTCTGGCATCGCGACGCTGGCGCCAGGGACAGACGTGGGTGGGCTAGCGATTGTCGAAGTGGAGAGGATGGTTCCTCTGTGGGAGGTGCCGTTTATGGAGAGGACAGGGCTTGTGCCGTGGATGGAGGAGGAAACCCATGTAGAAGGGAGCATTAGGAGAAAGAGTGTGTTGATGACGAAGAACCCGATGGATGTTGCTGTCGTCGGGGGACGAGTGAGGCTGTACTTTGCGCCGGAAGAGGGCAGGAGTAGAATCTTTGTTTGTGAGGTATGCGAGGGGTGATTTATGAGGGCGTTCATGCCGTGTTTGGTATGGTGTTCACTTTGCCGGGACTTTTTACGGTTGCTTTTGATGGGAAATGGAGACCCTCGAGATGTTTATATGTATCCTTGTATGTGTATGATTGGTAACTCTGATGAGCAGCTTTCCCGTTCTCACTCGCAGGCTTCATAGAAGTTCTCGTCAATGATGTTTCGTGCTGCGCCGTCGGTGCTCAATGTATGCTATACGCGAGATAAACGTCGTTTCCGCTCCGCACTAAAGCTTCCATTTCATACTGAACATGTAAGGATTTGAAGGACATACCTAATCATTGTAGGTATCTGTGGATGGTCGCCTGACTACCTGCCGGATAGAGAAAATACAGGATGCTTACAACTCTGGCCCCTGAGAAACTACGCTCGCAAAGTTTTCAAGCCTGGATCGTGCGGGAAACGCTTTACTGCACGAAGCAAATGTCCTTTGAGGCTGTCGTCAATGGGTTCGTTTCTGTCTTTAACTGTGGGAAGGACGGGCGTTTCGGGAAAGTGGAGATGATTGGCGAGTCTCAGATGTCAACCTGCTGACGAGTGAAGCGGACGTCGTGGTGGGTGTGAGATCCTCAAATGAACTGAAGGGTTAGACCACGACTTAAGCTGTCGAGGGTGGTAAACGTAGACACACAAAGGGAGGAAAAGGGCACTCTTTTGTGAAATGAAACGTGCGTAATAATTGTCGATAACGATAGGTTCTAGCAGTCTATCTGTGGGATGACGCTTACATAGTAACGCCGCCATTGACTCTGCGGCATTCGTGCTGCCATATTCCACCCATGTGTGGCATGAATCGTTCATATCAGGGTTCAGGGCATTGCTTACATGTACTTTTGTGTAATTGGATTCTGGACCATGTGGCTCGTAGGAAATGGAACCATGCAGGACGAGCAATCTATTGAGCCAAACAAAGTCCAAAGTCTTGCATGATCCCATGTCGTAACGAGACTTGATCGAAGAGGGGGAAGCAAGGTAGATGAACGCCCTTAGGCCCCCCAGAAGATGACAGGCAACCTTCCCATGAGGGAACGTCATGTCTGACAAGACCCCGCTTTGACTTGGAAATGTATCTCATTCCTCGTATGAGTGTTTCGCGAAAGTACTCAGAATCTGACACGCAAAATAATCGCATCACTCAGTATAAGTCGCCTTAGCATCTTATTCTAGTCACACGTTCTTGTTCAGAGAGTTGCGGATAGGGCCGTCGAGTAGGTTGATCTACCAGCATTCACTTATTTTGAAATAAGCCGTTTCTGGTATTCTCTGGGAAGAACAAGAGGATCATTGGTGGCTCTCACGTTTGATAGATGCCGACCAGGATGTCATGAGCGACCAAAGGAGATGGAAACATGCTACTTAGTTAACGGATCATTCAAAGGTCGGGTCACTGGTGGTCATCATTTGACCAACGTTTTGATGATGTAGGCAGTTCGGATAAGAGCGTGGTGTACAATAAGGGGAAACCCGAGAACCATGTCTCGGAACACTGACAAGCCATCTCAGAGATTCCATAATTCGTGTGATGTGTCATGTTGCACAAAGCAACGCTTGAGAGGCTTAACAGTAGTTCAATATCCCGCAGATGCTGCCGCGCAGTGACAATAGCCAGGAGGCGTGGGCCGTGGTGTACTAAGTTGAGCTTGTTTCTCTGGTCGACCATGCTGATGTGCGTCATAGCACTGCGTGCGCACCGAAGGCCCAGGTCATGTCAAAGGGAGAGTTGAACAGGGCACACCGACGGAACTTTTCGATGTCTTCCGAATACGATCTAGGGAGATCCTCAACTTCATGGTCTCGTGTCCTCTTCCTATGCACCAGCGCTAGTACCTGCGATTGACCCCTCTGCAAAACGCCTAGACGCCTCAATATAGCTTCCTTTTGTTTGTTTTTCTTCCCTGCTCTATTTCTTGACTCAAGACTTACTTTACTTGTGTCAATTAAGAGTCTAGCACTAAAACGGCCATACCGAGAGAAGACGAGAGACAAAAGGCTACAAGCCTGGCCACGCAGACACAAAGTGGCCTCCCTTAGCCAAGAAGTAGTGGCAGCCTCAATAACAGGCATTATACGCAGTAAGTGTGCGGGAATCTCGATTTGGAAAGCCAGCTATGGGAGGAAAGTGTGGGCGAAGCAAACCGATGACCCTCGCTAGCCCGGTCCCACTTGATGACATTGTTCAAAGGGATGAGACGCTTTATTGAAAAAGACATGGCTTGGTGTCACTCTGCCAACAACATCTTTCCCGGGGATCAACGCTGGCACGCGCAATCCACCAATCAGACACGACGAATTGGTCAACGAGCGCATTGGGAGAACTTGAGCTAATGCATAAGCTAATAAGGGATCTGCAAAGTTGCATGCCAGTGTCTGAGGCATATTCGTTCCACGGACTGTGCCGAGGTTTAGCATCGACTAGTCCATGACGATCTGTTGATACCGAACTATCAAGACAAGCGCGAATCAGCCGGGCGTCCGCAAGCTTGCAACCACCAATGCTTCTCGTGGACGGTGAGCGAGCTTGTTAATTTACCGAAGAGGTGATTGGGCACTTAGACGTATATCATAGCGGAATCGGACGCCATAACAAGGTCGCAATACCATTAGCGTTGCCGACGGAAGTGCTTCGTCCCGTGCGATGATCTGGGCACTACTTCCTTTTCAGACATCACTAATTGAAGGAATGCTAATATTGGGCAGCCACTGCGTGGATGCTGCGTGCGTGACGGACACGAATAGCATATCGGTAGTTTAGAAGCGTTTTTGGTACACGGCCATGCCCTTTGGTCATGCCCTTAGGATCCCCAGAAATGTTCTTGCGGAGTACCTATATATCCGGGGAAAGTGGAAGCTTAATATGTACTATAATGTCTACTGACTACACTTCAGCGCCGTTGACGACGCCATTCCCGCGGACCGATACACTACGTTCGGGATCAAATCTTTCCGCATAGCCGTTTCTTTGTCGCTACCACCGTTGAAGATTCCCTGGGAAGAGGGCCTCGACGCACCGTTGTGGATGTTTGTTTTAGAACTATGTCATCATTCTGAGATTTGTCTCTGTTGAATCCAGTCGAACGGACTGTGTCACTCACATGGGGGGCTTATAAAAGTTAACGTCTTCTCCTCATCTCAAGCCTTCATCATCACCCAGATATTCGCTAGCTGGCCTTTGGCTTATCTTTTCTACACTTCATTTAACAAATACAAATCCTCACTGCGTAGTTGCAATGAAGTATCAACGTACATTACTAGCCTCGCTGGCCGCCTCAGCAGCTGCATTCCCGTCTCTGGCAACAAAGCAAGATCTCGAGGATTTGATCAAGCGCAACGCAGAACCTGAAGCCAATCCCGAGCCACAGATTCTTGGTGGAATCATTGGCTCACTCACCAACACCATTACTGGACTTCTTGGGGCTGTGGCACAAGGGGCATTGAACCCCGCAAACAAGCGTCCGGAACCAGGCTACGACTTCATCGCACCTGGCCCCAATGATAGCAGAGGACCCTGCCCGGGCTTGAATCTGCTTGCGAATCACGGCTACCTGCCTCGTGATGGCCACGTCAACCTGGGCCAAGTAATTGAAGCCACTGCTCGCGGGTTTAACATGGGTCCTGACCTGTCAACTATCCTCGGCGTTTTTGCTGTACTCACGGACGGGGATATCGTAACTGAGTCTTTCTACTTGGGATCTGGCCCAGGGAATGTTGGCGGTTTGAACAGGCACTCAACAGTCGAGGTGAGACTACGAGTTGAATAACGTCTCGTGAAATTTATCTAACTCTCTTCCTCCTAGGCCGACATCTCACCTAACCGAGAAGACTTCTACAACGGATGTGGCGATGCCCACCATCTCTCATCGCGCTTGTTCAAGCAGAATGTTGACATAGTAGCAAAGAGCGGAACGAAGCAGTTTGATCTGACGAACATGGGTACACAATACCAACAACTATCCATGTTTTCTCAGAAGAACAATCCTTACCTCTACTACTTCCCCTTCCCCTTGATCGTCTCTCTTGGCGCATTTGCCTTCTACCCCAACGTAAGTTGCTTCCTTCTCTCTGATTTCTAGTAGCTACTAACATCTGGCTTCCAAGTTCTTCAGCAACGGCACCTACGGACTCGGAGGCGTTGCCAACTATGAGTCCATCTCATCTATCATCGGGGCCAAGTACGACCCTGCGACAGGAGAATTCCAGTACGTACCCGAAACATGGCCCGCCAATTGGTACCGTCGTGCAACGCCGTACACTGCAGTTCAGACCGTGCTGGAGGGTCTCCTCATTTACCTCCGCAACCCTGTCACTCCGGCTGTTGCGCAGCTCGGAACAGGCAATTTAAATGCCACGACTCTACTGTGTGACGTCTACCAGGGTATCAACTCACTGGTGCCACTCTTCGTCGCCGGGACTACGGAGGAGGTGGCTGCAGCGACTACTTGGGCTATTTCCAAGCTTGACCCCTACTTTGGCAACACCCTTCTTGGCTGCCCAACAAGTGTTCTCTCTCCCAATAGCCCTAGCCTCATCTTCCCCAATGCCGACCAGCAGGGCGGTCCGCTCAACCCCCCTCCCAGTGTGGCCAAGCACATTGGCAACAACGTTTACTACAAGACGTACTTTACTTCGGCGCCGGTGACACCGGCATGCTAAAGCATCCATAACATAGCGTACAGGGAGACAATCTTCCATCACTCTGAGTTTACTGAAGTGATCAATGCCTCTTTCCATTTATTGCTTCGTAGAAACAAAAGAAATATAATGAGAATACCTTACAATTCGTTCTTTTGCTATATGAAAACGTGAGATATAATTCTTTGTATTAATATGAACTCTTTTACGATAAATTTCATATAGAGAAACTTTTTGCACGGCTTGTCTTGAAAACATAGGTCGACCTTGCCCCTTCGATGGCTTTGGAGGAAGTATTTAACCCCTGCAGCTATAGAAACTCGTGAATTCTAAGCTTTTTTAGGGTTATCTACTTGGCAACCATTTGACAGGATCGTGACTGTGTGGAGTTTCGTTCAAAAAACACTTTGTTCATGCCGAAACTGGGAGGCGTCTATGCTGGCGAGGCCGGGATCTGAATAGATACTAGTATCAGTGACTTGAGGTAGTTACGCCCAAGTCCTGTTGGAAAGCGTCGTCTGACTCCGTACAAGGTTACTGAGCTATAAGTACAATATCGTGATGTGAAGATCAGCTGAACACACTGTGTGGTATTCTCCGATGAAAAGAAAGCTTTCGGCCTGACTGGTCAAAAACTGACTATCAACGTGAGTCAAAACCACGATCTGAGAGCCATGGTATGGCATGTTTGCAGAAGGGCGACGTTGAAGGGTAAAGGTCAGTTTCGATACAGGACGAAATCCAGCTTTTTAGACGCCCAGGATGAAGACGTCGAACAGCTGGAGCACCAATTTAGGTCGGACAAGATGGCGGTTGATGCCTTCCGAATTACACCGACCTATGGTATAGCAGCTCGCTGCCGGCGGGAATAAGTGGAGCGTTATGGAAATTGTGCAGCTTGTGCGGTCTTACTTAAACAGCAATAGCGGGGTGGAAGTCGCATCGGTAAAAACTCTTAACGGCATAAATGCAATAACATGAAAGCTCGGGGTCCTCTGCCGCCCCGTCTCTCAATTGGCGACCTGAGTGCGGACAATCGGTGGATAAAGTTTCCGTCTGCATTGCGTCCGTAACCAGCCACAATGCTAGACTGACAGATTGGCACACTGGTTCGCTTTGATCGGTCGGTTGGTGGTCAGATCCAAATGAGACGCCAAGCATGGCTCACGATGATTCATCCGCGCTAACAGGGGTTCTTGCGTCAAAGGATGACTGGCGCTGACCTGAGTCGCGGATGGAGGTCCCGTACCCGAGCGCACCACAGGTCTACCCCTCCCCTCGAAAACCCCTCCTCAACCTCAGGGCCGTAAATTACCATTGTCAGTAACGACTACTCCGTAATATATTTCGTGTTTGTGAATCATAGAGAGAAGCTATTGCATTTGCCTAGGGGGGCGGTATATGAGTATATACGACGGGGAGCCGTATTGAGCTATTCGTTATAGATTCATCGTTTGTTGCAGACTTGAATAAACACAACAATATTTGTCTACCATTTCATCACACGTACCTAAGAGCAGCGAAATGAAGCTGACTGTAACTGTGCTAACGTTGGTAATTGGTGATGGATGTAGAACGAGCTGAAATGCACCTCGCCTGCATCACCATCGTTCGCGGATAAAACCTGGGTTGCATCTCAGTAGGTGCCAAAGTGTTATATAGGCGGTGCGCGATTTCAAGCAGCTTCATGGAACACAGTGCAACTGATCGAGTGTTTCATTCATCGACTATTCCACGAAAATATCCGAGCTACGCCACGCGCCCTTTAATCCGCTAGAACCCCAGCAGCAAAGATGAAGCCCTGTGAGGCATTACGGCTTAGTTTCCTTACGCATGACACTCTTAAGTGCTTCTGTCTCAGCCTCCTGACGAACGAGGCGGATTCGTAAATCGTCCCTCTCCCGAGTCATCTCCTTTAGCAACGATTCAAGTTCGTCGATGCGATCAACCTTCTTTTGTCTGTATTTGCGAGCAGCAATGGTGTTTCGCTGACGACGAAGGATCTTGTCGGTATGGGGAGTGGCTACGTCTTGGCCCTGAGCATGGTCATTTGACAAGGACCGGTGAGGGTGAAGTCCTGAAGTGGCAGTATACACTGACATGTCCAGGGGCGGAGGCTGGTTCGGGCTATTGGAGTTGGAGTTGGAGTTGGAACTAGAGTTGGATTCGAAGAGGGCATCCAGCTGAACGGGGAGGAAGGTGTCGGGGAAGGTGTCGAAAGATACGGGGGGTGAGGTATCGATGAAGGCAAGTGGGAAAGCTGAAACATGTAGTCAGTACACTGGAAGTTGACTCATCGGATGTAGAGATAGGCAAATATTGTGAGTCTTCTTACACTGATCAATCGGGTTGCCGAGGGGACTGGTACTGATGGAAGGCGTCGCATACGCAGCAGACGTCCATGGCAAAGTGTCCCAAGGTGGCGATTCAGAGTACGGAAGGCTAGAATCTATGTGGACAGAGTCTGGGCCAAAAAGCCCAAAATCTGTACCCGGGAGGCCAGCGGCCGACAACTGAAGTGACTGTTGTTGGTGTTGATGCTGAAGATCATGTATTAAACCGACCTCGCCGGGAAGGCTTGAGTTATCCTGGGCCCATTGCGGCAATTGGTTGGGCTGGCTGGAACCAGATGGTCTCCCGCTGGATCGCGGCCGCCGCGGCTGATGATGATGCGGCGCACATTGTTGCAGAGTGTAGGGGCCCTGTTACCTAGGGCCAGAGGATGACAACGTTGAATCGGGATGGGGAGATTCTCGTCTTGCGAGAATTAAAAGTGTCGTGGAGAGGAAGCATCGTCTGGGATTAACGGTGGGAATCCTGGATTTATAATCTAATGTAGATCTACGCAGCAGACCAACTTGTGCAGACGCAATCGGATTGGGTAGGACGGCCGTTTCCTGGCGGGTTTACGACGGCTGCAGACGTGGGTTGCCCGCACTGATAACGCCAACCTTGACCACTGCAATAGATGTACCAAAGTACGCATGACCTGGCGTAAGCCCGATCGAGATGTGGCTCAGCACGCCTGCCGCAGACAAAACTGATGCTGGCTGGCTGATGTGCTGATCAACAGGGCAGGGGTACTGACAGTAGTCTTGCAACTATCCGGTCTACACAATAAAAGTGGCCCTGCACAACTCTGCATATGCACGAAGACAGTCTAATCGCACATTCCAGGATCAACTTTCGCCCCGTGATCATTGTTCAAATGAGCCTTAGTGTGGCCTCTGATCAAGGAGGGCTGACGAGTTCATCTTGTATGACAAACGTTGCTGCAGCCCAGCCTCAGTAGACTGAAGACGTCACGTTACGCTTTATCCTGTCGAAACCACCCCAACACCTCGTTCATAACAGAATCCAGCGAGACGGATAGCCTACTATTCTGCAGGTAGATCGCGACTGGACCCCCTCAGTGCTCTATCTACCGACTACAGACGAAAGCTGGTTAAGCTGCAGGACTGGCAAAAAAAGACCCTTCTGACTGCTCTTTTCCGGACCCCTTGCCAAGTCCCCTTTCACCGGCGTCGTGCAGCTGCATGGGTCGAGCCCGACCCCGAACCTACGGTGAACGGAGCCCATCCGCCGGCCGAAAGCCTCTGGCTCTCCCGTCTCTCATTTGAGTTGTCCTCAGACAATCACACACCACAATCGAGAATGGATCCCACTCTCCTTGCAGATACGGCGTCGGCGTCAAACTCCTTGTCCCCGACAGGGGCTCCTCCCAGCCAAGCGGGATCTCTAGAAAGCGAAAACGGCAGATCCTCCATGGTCCACCGTCCTCGCCACACGCGCACCAGCACACCTAAAGTGAGAACAGGTTGTGTCACCTGTGAGTCTTCACCCAACTACGAGGAAACTGAATAGGTAATTGGACACCGCTTACTCTGTATAGGCAAGTAAGTCAAGTTAGACGGAAAATTTGACCGCCAGTGTTGTGTGCTAATTCCTCCTCTAGAAAACGGCACATTAAGTGTGACGAGGGCAAGCCTCATTGCATGAATTGCCTCAAGACCCGCGGTGTCTGTGATGGCTATGCCATCAAGCCAAGAAAGACAAGAGGAAAGGTCCCGCGGGATCTGGAACCCTTGAACCCCGAACCATCATGTCGCCGGACGAGTCCCCGGCTGCGCATTCGGGAACCCAATGTGAACACCCTCGATTTTGCCGACGATATGCAAAGCGTTTACTTCAACGACTGGAACGAATTAGTTCGCGTCTCACTCGGCGGCGCTCACTTTTCGAGGACCAACCTCTGGACAACCACCATGCCTCAGCTCACCCGCCGAAACTCGGCTCTGCGACAAGCTGCTATGAGCATCGGGGCCATCAGCAGGGCACTGTCTTCGCAGGGCTCCTCTTATGTCGTGGCGAGAAATTTCGGTAACATTGCCAACCTACTGCAGAGCCCGCATTATCAGAACGCTATTGTCTACTACTGCCAGGCACTTCGTCTACAAGGGCAGGCTGACTTCCAGACTGCCAGCATCCAAGAGGCGGTACTTTTGTCTATACTCTTCGTCGCATTTGAAGCATTGCGGGGGAACCGACACTCTGCTCTCCAGCATGTCAAGTTTGGTTTCGTGCTGTTGCAGGAGTTGCTCACCAGCGAGGACTCGGATCATCGCATCTGGAACCTCGCGCCCGACCCTAGGCAACTCATTACGGAAATTCTGGATCTGTACAACCATCTCGACGTACAAAGTCGGACCGTTCTCAGTGGTCATGTAAAGTCAAGCCGTTCACCAGCCTACGAACTCATCAAAGGCCTCAA